ACTCAATTTATGCTACCAAGTTAATGATTAAGCTTGTCATCGAATAACAAGAGAATTAGGTTAGAAATCTGGAATCTGAAATACAGTTTGCAAATGATAGAAACGACATCATGATTTAACCTGATAAATGTCGACCATATTGACCGATGAAATTTTGAAATTTTTCTTGAAAGCTGAAAGGAGCAGAAATAAACACTGAATATCAAATTTGAATGTGATACGATAATTGCTCTTTTCATCTCAACTAAAATACTACATTGGAGTTTTGCCGTTAACTTTACTATTACTGCACTTCACTTTTACGAACTCACCAGGTCCTCGAGCAAAAAATATGCCTTGCATATTTGAATTATCGTTGTCCCAACCACCAGTAAATCTAACATCTTTTTCTTGCTCATTTTGTGGTGGTATCGAAGGCAGTTCACGCTTGAATGATTAAGAAAAAAAAATGATTTGAAATATTTTGTTATATATAAACATCTTTGATTACACAAATCTATACAAGTAGAGAAGAAACAAATAGATATGATTAAGAGTTAAGGTGTGAAGGAAGATATCTAATTAGTTAAAAAGCAATCTGTTAACAATATACCGTTAGAACAGTTGCACCTGGGCGAGTGAACAAGACGATTTCAGGCATATGCTTGAAATTTTTCCAGTGTAAACGATCTAGCAGCTCTGCTGTTCGGTAAACTGATATTAAAGGTTGTTGATTTTCATCGTAATCACCCATTGGAGCCCACTGATCGCATAATTTTAACTCGAAAAATACCTTGAAAAGGAGTACTGAGTGTTAGCAGCAGTGGATTAGCTGAGACAAGAAGAATATGACAAGTTAAACAAAAACACTCCTTCTGCGAGTTTCTGAATTTTTTCACTTTTATATAGCGCGTAACACAGTCATCCGCGCTAAACACCCGTTTACTTCGTACTTTCATGAAAAAGAATAACGAAATTTGCTCATAGAAGCAAAGTTATCTTGTTTTCTTGATTCAATTATTGAGCGTTTCTGCAAAGTCAGTGATCAAATCAATTTTCTACTTTAGAATTGTGATTGTACTTTAATGCTACGAAACTTAGTAAGTAATGAACAGTTGACATGAAAGAGCAACGTTGCGTACTTCATCAGCTTCCTTTGGATTTGTAAATATCATCATCATTGCGTGATGATTGACAACTTTTTGGATTTTTGAAAAGTCCGCCATGCATTCTTCAATAAAGAATTGCTCTTCCTGCTCAACTGGATATAATCCATGTGTAGAAAGTACCATAAGGTTTGTTGAATCGAAAAGTTTTGCAGATTCTAGTTTTTGCTGCATTATCAGAAAGAATAAACAATTCAACAATCATTGAATAATTACGACATTAAATTACTTAAATATTTCGAAATGAGTGAAAGTATCAAGAAACGAACTTGAAGCGATAGCAAGTTTAAATCCACGTTAATCAAAGTTTGTCTTACTTCATCACTACCGAATCCGAATGTTTCTAGAGCTGCCTGAACTCCAGCATATCGAAGAAAAAAAAGCTGTAACTTAAAAAGTCAGTCTTCAAAGAAAGAAAAGAAAGTAATGAAGGTGATAAAAAGTAATCAAGTTCTATAGATCAAATAAGATTAGAAGCAAAAATTCAGCAGGCTTTACTTGTTGCCTGTAGAACTGATACTTAGAAATTTGTTGTATTATTTCTGGAAAATATGTAGCTAATGCGTCCGTCTGTTCAGGTGTTGAGAGATTGTATCTACGTTCTGGTGGAACTTGCACAATCATGTCTCGACAAGGAAGCTATAAACTTCGTTAGCTTTCGAAAAGTTCGAAACATATTAAAAATGATAATAATGAGTATTTTCAAAATACATAGCAAAATTTTAGTACATAAAAAAATAAAATAAAGCTTTCCGATTTTTTCGGATGAAATCGACCAATTCTGAATACTTAATTATACTTCTTAAAGATCTAGTACACCATTTGAAATTTGCTACAAAATTTAGACACCGAAGATTGAACAGATCTTCATATGATTAATGAATAAAACCATAAAAGGTTTGCAAATTATTCTATCAAATTGCGAACAGTAAATACTCGATAATTCCAATGATACTAATAAGTATCTAATAATCCTAATGTCTATGCTAAAAAGTTGGTCTTAAATTTATGTCAAAAATAAAAACTTACGTCGCAACCTGGCATCCAGTAACAATGAACATCGATGTTTGCTTTACCTGCTGTATACCACGCAGGAGTTACATCATCAGACCACCAACTTCCACCGAAATCGCTTGATTCTCCCTTCCGAAATACTCGGTTCTTCGTCCTATCCCACATGTAATCAGCACCATAGCCATGATTTTCAGTATATAAACCTGCAATCTTATTAGATTTTTGTTGTTAGTTCTCGACTCTTACGGTAATATTTATTTTTTCACAGCAACTACAAATTTTCGCAGTTTAAATGATTAAAGTTTTTTCCTTTAAAGTCCTCATTAATAATGAACTGTTGACTGATCTGAAATCTAGTTACTCAACAACCTGTGACGAGGGTCATCCAGTTTGGATAATTCTGTGTTGGATAAACAGGTTTTAAGAAGTCAGTAGATACACCATTTTTGGACAGTAAGCGGAAGCCGGAAGAATCTGTTTGGTTTAATAATGCTTTGCCATAACCATCTAGGATCAATACAATTAAATTTTGCCCTACAGGAATTCTTTCGATAGCAACAACGAAATAAATCAATATGAAGAATGTGCAATGCTGGTACCACATGATTTCTGAAAAATTTTCGAAGGAAGGAATTTCAGAGATTAAAAATTTTTTAAGCAGTCTTTTACAAACTGCAAATGAGCTTTTTTTATTAAACTGAAAATTAATATTGGAGAGAATAAAATTTATTGCAAAAACTTCACTGGTCCATACTTTATTGTTCATTTGAGAAATGTCATAAAATAATGAAGTTTACAAAATTGCTGACGTTGGATTTAGAAGTTCTTGAGATCTACTGAGCAATCTATTTTTCTTATACTGATGAGTATTTTTTTAGTTCGTGGTTATAAAAGCAAGAGTAAAATGTTCAACTATCACCTGAAATAAGTTCCTGATATCTATGTTTTTAATCCATATTATTCAGTTCTCTTATTGACTAGAGTTCGGACGTTTAGTACGCTTAATGCGCCTGATTAAGTAGTTTTCTGAAAAATAATGTCAAAGTTTGTGATATATATGCTTCATAATACGCACAATTTTCTGCACACAACACGTAAGGTAAATGAGTTCAGAACTTGTTATCAGTAACAAATTTACCGAAGTGAACCTTACTTATTCTCCATTTATATATCAATACATTATTTTAGGTGAACAAATTACAGCTTACTTTATGTTTTAAAATGTACATCAGTGTAATTAAAGTAATAGCTATTCTAAACTTAATAAAATCATAATTTTAATCAGGCATATTAATAATAAAGAATATAATAATAATGGTTTAAAATTAAAAAAAAACAATTTCGCTATTATCTTTGCAATGCGAGCGAAGTAATTAAGGACTGATGCATATATTAAAAACAAGAATAAGAGCAGTGTTGTCATATTACTAAACAATAGTATTTACATGTAATAGGCTATAATCATGAACAGTAATAATTTTTTTGACAAACGTTCCAAAGTTCGTGAGCATTAATTAAGAAGAAAAGAAGTTAGCATTAAGAGTATTTAGAATGAGAATAACAATAAGGAAACTGAGCACTAAGTGATAATGAAACTGACATGTAAGTTGTTAGTTAGACTCAAAAATTAATCATTTTAATTAACTTTTAACGCAGTAAAAATTCTGAGTAAGGCTTAAAATTGCAGCATTTTGATCACGATAGAAAAATGTTTCAAATCCACAAATCCACTGTATTTGACTGTATTGTATTTTCTTGAGTTTAAGATATTTACCCTCTTTCTCATGCTAATTTATGACTACTTTTTTATTATTACCACTTTAGCACTGTAATGCTTTAGCTTCAAAATCCGGAAAATTTCAACAAATATTCAATGTTCAGACTTGAGCCATTATTTTCATTGCACTATTATATCACTTCAAATGAATAATGTGTCAGCTAATCTCTGCTTGCAAGAAAACATTTGTGAGTAACAGTTTCTTCTAACATAGTTTGTTGGCAGTATAAAATTATAAAATTTAAAATAATGTAAAAATTTTGTAAGTATCCAAAGCCTACATTATGCTTGAAGCCAAGAACAATATATACACAATAATAGTAGAAGAGTTTATCATGATGCAAATTATATTAGTAAAGAAACCTGCTTACTGAATTATTTAAGAAGAATTCTGCTTGAATGTTGAGGCTAAATTTTGATAACAGAAGTTATTACTATACTTTGTACAAGTATAGGATTTACGATCAAATAGAAATAAGCAGTTATGATCCATACATTAGTTGCAGTTATGCTGCTCAATTGCTAATAATCTAAAGTGCTTCACATTAAGGCCATCTTTTGAGAAAAATACAGATAGATGGCACAAAATATATAACGCAGTAGATTCAAAGTCCTAATTTTTGCAACATTTGTTATGCAGTCGATCAAAAATTCACATAAAACCAATTAAAAATTATGTAAGCATTTCAAATTAACTACTTACTGAAAACAAATTAGTAGAGAGATCACTGAAAAAGCAAGGAGATAGGAACTTTAATCTTGTAAAATCTTACATAATGTTTCACTTATACACTTGGACAAAGCTAAATTCTTCATTAAACTGAAGTGATTAATGATACAGTAAATCCAATTGTAAATGCGTCAAAATGTGCTAAATTAAAAGTAAATGCTACTGTCAAGACTTGAAAAAATCTGCATTTCATTATCGAAGAACATGAAATATCAATCTTCTTAGTCTTAAAATTCATCACCTTAATTTGAACATTCTTTTCGACAATACTTTTAATTATTATGACTGAAGATCAAAGTCAATTTGAGGATTTGAGAAAATTAGTGAATAACAATTCATTTTTCATTCACTAAGCAAACGAAAACCTTCTGATCACCACCAATAGAGATTTCAAGAGTATTAAATCATTACGAAAAAATGTAAACCATATTCAATGCTTTTAAATAAAAATTACAGCAGAACTTTTGTCTAAAACAAATTTCAAAATTATTATTCACTTAAATGCTGCTTCTAGTAAAAATTATTTTTTATAGGAAGCCTTAATCATTTTGCAAATGAATTTACTTTGAAACATTTAATGTCAGTATCACAAATTTTAATCAGCTAAAGTTACTGAAGCAAATGATAAAGAAACTGAAAAAATTTGGCAGAAATAAATGATACTTTTTTGCTGAACTAATTTTTAGAGAATGCCAAACTTTCATAATGTAATAATAATCATTTTAAAGTCTAGAAGAATGATGGAAAATGGCAGTAGCAACAAACCACAACTGTGCTAATGTCAGAACAAATAGTGATGGTAAGATACAATTGCGCATCCAATACGACCAGATATTAGTATTTTGAAGGAAATCTGAGAGTATGCCAACATTCAACTATTCAGTTAGATCATTCGTTAGTAACCTTGTTAGTGCAATAAGAACAACATAAATCAAGTCTCTGCTTTCAGCAATTGGGAAATTATTCCAAAATGGTACAAATAATTATTCCTTCAGTAATATCTGAGTGCTCCCAAGAAATGCAGGAATGATTAGAAGACTGGATGTAACGGAATCAAATCCGAATCGGTAAAATATGATGTTAGAACAAGCTTCAAACAATAAGTCATTTGAAGTAAACTGAAAGTCATGTATTTCGCAAAACTTATATAATTTTTATTCCGTCTGTCACTCGTTATCATTTATGGCAATATAATTATGCACAGACAAATGGATGTTTTATTTAAGCTTAATAAACTTTATGATATGATATCAATGCTAAACTGAAAAAAGCCGAGAAAGACCAGTTGAGAGTTTCATTTCTGAAATAATTGTGTAATGGATGATAATCGCTTGCAGGTGTTGCTTAACATCGAACTCTATTGCTGTTGGCTTGCTTACACATACTACAAACATGCACAACTGCCTCCGCTCACTTAACTGCCAACTGACATGTGACCCAGCTAACCAGCTACAAATCACATCATTTCATTTCTTCATTTCGACTGATCATTTAACTTCTCTGAATACCAATCATTCAATTTCATCCAATTAAAAGATGAAATTACTTTATCGTCAAAAGAAAACCGCTTCTTTTCTTTAAATCTCTCTTACATTTATGTTAAATTTTATAGTTAAACTTGATAAAAAATATGCATGAGTGAATTGACACTCAGTAGATAGATAGATAGATAAATAGATGAATGAATGAATTAGTATAAATGAATGAATGCATGTATGAACGACTGAGTAAATAAATAAATAAATAAATAAATAAAGGGTCAAATGCAAAGTTATTTCATTGCAAAACACAATCCGAATGTGAAATAGGTTATTTATTCATCGTTATCAAAATTTAGTAAAAAAGTCCCTAGCACATTCTATTTTATTTTTGCTAACTCAATATTTCATGTCAAAAACTTGATAACTATTAAGCAGTTTTCTTTTGAATTATTCCAATATCGTTAACGCATCATCAAAAATTCACAGTACACTAAAATTATGAAAAAAGTATTAGCATCCATGTTAGTTGAAAACACTGTCTTTGTATTTATTTATATTTTCTTATTAGCATTTTTAGTATCATACATATTAGCTGTTCATTTTGATTATTTTTACTGCCTTAAATCAAAGATAAATTCAGTTACGAATGAAATATGCCTCGTATTTTCTGATAGATACTTGATTATTTGAAAAACCAAGCTTAGTTAAATTATTTTTATGACTTGATGTTTACACTGCAACAATCTCGTAAATGTAAAAAGTAGCTGAAAATTTAAGAATAATACAAACTTAATTACTTCATTATTATTAAACATGTGCATATTTTTTTATACTAGAGATTAAGCAAGACAATCAATGAGTTTGAATCTGAGAAACAAGAAAAGTAAATTAATTAATGGTTGCTTTGTGAACTTTCACATAGTATGGCACTTTATTTTTGAAATGAAAATTTTCATTTTCAATCAAAAAATCAAAAATATGGAAAAAAACATATCCAAATAAATAATTGATAAATAAGTGCGATCAGCAAGAATGAAATCACATAAAGTAATAAAGGCAAAATTAAGCTTTAAACCATAACGACAAATTAGCTTCGCATTGCAATGGTTAAATTTTAAAAGTTCCATTACTGCATGAAAATTTTTATTTTTCTCAGTCGTATGCGCAACTGCAATTTTGCAAGTTGCAAACGAAATCTATTGTTGAATTAAACGATTGCACATCTCAACTTATCTGCCTAAATATTTATTAATTTTCACTGTTATTTTAATCTCTGTTATTAATACGAAAACAAGAATTAACTAACATTCTACCCCTATTCGCTCACGATTTCACTTTTTCGAATAGCTCAAATTGATTACTTTTTGAATTGACTGCAGTTTTCCGCTTGTTCATTGTGATCGAAGCCTAGGTGTTTATCATGTCAATAGAAATAACAGTGTCAGCATTGGAACCTAAAACTGACTTAAAGCAAAATGTAATCTGAAACTAAGCAAAACATCACCTACACACCCAAAACTGTTTTCAGATATAAAATCTTTGTGTTTATATCCTAACTACTTTCTACACAACACTCTAACATTTTCAAGATACTTATTACTACTTATGCTTATCACTGCAGTGTATCTACTGCTAGCATTTCAAAGGACAGAAAACAGAAAAAATTCTGTTATTTCAAGAAAACAGAATAATGGATTCTTCGTTAGAGAAAATGTACATAATTGTAAAAAGCACTGAAGTACTTCGCAGCCAACAAGATCTGATGACCTCACAACATGCACAACATGTGCTTTGATTTACTAAATTGTCTGAATACTGAGATATAAAATGTTGTAATAACCTTAGTCGATAATTATTTTATTTGTCAAACTGTCGCATTTACCACATAACACAATTAGTTTACATGCAACTTTTGCTCTAAAAAGCAAAAAACTTAGTGCAAAGTATTATAAAAACACTAATTCAAAATAGTTATAAGAATTCTGGAAGTGCAGATGTACATGTGGTTTATTTTATTGAACAATTTCATTTTCTGTTAATTAATTGAAAGGTAATTTCTTGCAGTATGAATTTTCAAATAATGAAAGCAAGATCATTCTGTTAATAGTTTTCACAAGGAATAAAAATATTTGACAATGTGTTCATTAATGCAAGCACGATGCTGATCTTAATTAGTGTATTTGAAACTTGTAAGAACTTGTATTGTTTTTATTTTTAACAGTTTTTAGGGTAGTTATGACTATCAGTTCTTGTAATAGTAGTTATGAAGAGTTGCGAAAAATGGTTGAAAAGTAAGTGTAAACAATAAAACTGCGACATCTTGAGATGAGGTGTTGCATTAATTGTAAGCGGTGTCAAAATGAAGAGGCGTTGCTAAGACTTTTAGTAGCATACAAAAACAGTGTAGGCATTGGTAAGCACTAAATTAAAATTCTCTAGAAATCGATTTTTCGACTTAAATTATTTATAAAACTCATTAATTTTTTGTAAATTTTACTCCTTTCATCCGGAATATTTCTGGATATTATCAAATTTAAATATCACAGAAGCATTTAAATGTAATTTGCTAAGTGGTTTGATTTCAGAGATGAGAACTGGTATTTACTAAATCAAGTTGTTATTACCATAGGAAGTAAATTTATTATAATTTGCTATCAAAATTTATTCTCGCATAAAATTTTGAGAAGAAAGTATGCTTCCATTGTCTATAAGTTACCATTAACCATGTTCAAATTCGGTGAGACAATTTATTTCACGAGTGATGCATTGAATGCGGGAAATATAAATTTCATTTTATGAATTTCAATTTGTAGGTATGAATCATGTTAATTTATAATCAAGGTTTGACTGGATAAAAATGCAACGGTAAAGGCTGAAACGATTATTATCTTATTTCAACAAGTGTTAGTGGAAATTAACTCTGAAAAGAGTATTTTTCTACAGTCTATTACTGTTTTTTAAGTGGGTTGTTTTCGTAGAATGACTGCTTACACAAAATGTCAAAATCATTAGAAAATTTTGTTCATGTATCGTGGGACATACGGGTTCAGTTTGCTTTTATTTTATAGGAAAAACGTTGTATATTAATTTTAGGGATACAGGAAAGATGTGTATGTGATGATCAGTGACTGTATATCAAGTAAACTTCTGGTTTTTCAGCCTAGATGTTTCAGTTCTCATCAAATTTGGGCAGTGTATTCAAGAAAAGTCCTTTGGATGTTTCATTTATCAAAGGAATCTACAGTTCTACAGCAAACATCCACTGAATTTTCGTTTTTTGTGAACAAGCTAGACACAATTCGGCAAATCTAAAAGTATGTTATAATTTACGTGATACTAATTATTGTAGATAACAGTATATGAATATTGCAATTTTAACTCAAATGACGAAGATTAGGGCTGATTTATAAACTTTCATTGATTGAAATGAAATGAGATTGTAGCATTGCGTTTCTTACAGTGGTTGATGAGTTGGACAAAACTTATGAGAATTGTGCTGATAATCATCGGTGGGAAGTACGTCAGTTCTGTAAGTTTGCATATTCTTTGTTTTTTAAGTGACAGTCTTAAATTTAAGTCATGATATAAGAAAAGTCATGAATACTAAAGATTTGGTTTCCCAGTTTTGATACCTTTTTTTGCTTCACTATTTTAGATATATGTATTTGCTTAAAATTTTTTTTTTCCATCACTTGCTAAAACTTCTGAAGCTGATTCTGCATTTGTACAAGGTGAGTACATATGAATACTATTTTCTTTTTCTACACAGAAGTTGCTTATTTTATTTTTAGGTGCCATAAAACATAAATGCTTTATTTGTGAAAACTCTGATAAGTCTGAAATAGAAATTGATGTACGGTTTACATCTATTAGAAGAGATCGCACCGAAAACTACAGTGTTGATGATAGTGTTTCAACCTTTGAATTTAATAAAATTAGGAAATGCAATTATTCATCCTGCAGTTTGTGGTTCCATGAAAAATGTTTTCTATCGTTCAATGAAGGTTGTTCTTGAATTGTCCTTGATTTTTATTATGTGCTTTATCATTTTAATATAATTTTTTTAAGGAAGTCACCTTCAAAAGTTTAAGTTTGACATGCTAAAAGTAACTTTTTACATTTCAAGGTGATTTTTTACCAAGAATGCATATATTGGATAAACACGGTGATCCATGCATTAATTTAAAAGATGGTAAAAGGTGGATATGCCCTCAGCACGAATGTAATTTTTGCCATCAAGAACTCTTGAGGACACGAGCTTTTCAAGGTATTCATTTGTAAAATTTTGAAAGCACCTCTCAAAATTAAGCAATATTGCTTGAAAACAGTAGCTACCATAGCAGTCGGGTTTACATGAAATTTACAATAAAAAAAGGAATGAGTGTACTAATAGCACTCAAAGGAGCGTTCGAAGATCAAGCAGATTAAAAATGTGTCTAATAAGTAGAAAAAAGAACTGTTTTCTGAGTTGTAATATTTTTTAGGAAAGTTTATAAAATGCGTCAAGTGTGTCTTTGCTTGGCATCGCTCATGTGTTATTTCTGGTTCGCAACACATTGACAGAAAAAGTGATCGCTATGTGCTTTGTCCACGACATAATTCATTAAAACGAACGTCGAAACGAAACGTACCGTATTGCGTTAAATGTGAAAAACTTTTCGGTAATTTTTACTGTTAAAAAGTTTTGGACGTGATTAGTAAATGTTGACAAATTGATAAAAAAATCTACATCTTGGTTTACAGAAAGAAAAACTCAGAAGCTGGCTTGTACTTCATGCATACGTTCATTTTGCTATGAGTGTATTACTAAAAAAAATATCAATTGTACCAAAACTCAAAGCAACGAATTCGTCTGCGATTTTTGTCGATGCTTTGATTTTCCAATCATTGGCGATCATGTTTTGGCAGCATACAAATCTTGGTAACTTGTTTAATGTTTGAAATGACAGTTCTTGTAGGCTTTCAATTTATCAAGCATGTAAGCATCATTTTAGCTTTTGACTGTAAGTCTTAAAATCCTCAGTTGTTAGAAATATTAATTATTGAATCAAAATAAAATTGATAATATTTGTGAGAAAAGCATATATGATAGCTGTTAATTGTGGTGAAAAAAGCTTACAATCTGTTTTATTCAAATTCGTACTCTTCTTTCAGTGTATTTCATATCTTATCTGTATAATTAGCTGTAATTTTTCAGTTTCTGGCCAGCAAAGACATTGCACGCTGACTTACTACCGCAATGCTTGTATACCATACAGCAGTTGAAGAAAAAACTTTGTCAAGTACATCATTTCTAATTAAAAACTTGTAGACTATGAAAAGTTTCTGTGCTTCCTGATTAACCTAGTTATTTCATATGAGTCTTTTTATGTAACTATTTTATGTTTTAGCCAGGTTATGTGCTTGTGCAGTGGACTGAAGGACTAGATATACCAAATTATGATGCTGTTACGTGTAGAGACTTAGTTCCCATTCCGAAGTCATTAAATTGTCCGTTTTGGAAGCGTATGAAAACCCGTGAAAAAATATATAAAGGTATACATATGGAGCAATTTTTCTGATTGTTATCATATAAACATAATTTCAACTGTTAGTTTTGTTGAAACTTCATGCTTAAATATCTAAGGAACTAAGGCAAATTTCGTGATTAAAAGTTGACGTGAAATTCTTTTTTAATCAGTTTTCATCGGTATAGTTCTTTTTATTAGGTTGTTATTGAAGCTCACAAAATTTTATAGCTGTGGAAGCGATTTATTCAATCCCCGAAGTAGCAGTTGGCAGAAAGCGCCCACTTCCTCGAGAGGTTAGAGTAGATGAGAAACCAAAATATGTTAAGGTCAAGGTTTGTTTTTGTTTTTTTTCTCCATGAGCTGTGTTTCCTGAATAATTTGCATGCATTGCAATAATTTTATTTTTGATCAAGTTTTTTTCTGTCCTTAATACTGCAAATTCCTAAGAATTTCGGGTTCAGTTATTATTAGTTATGTAAAGTAATAATTTTGAAACTTTCAGAATTAGAGTAATCGATTCAAGGTGAGAAGGAAAAATAGCATAAGTGAAAACTCTGTTTATCCTGATGTTTTAATCAAACTGAAGGCTACAATTTATTTTTAAACTATCATCTCGTAAAAATGCATCTGTCGAACTTTTTTGTCTCTTATAGACAAACATCAACATGCGCTTAGCTAAAGCGCGATCGGAAACCACCGAGTTAGGTCACTGTAACTGCGAACCCATAAATGGAAAGCGTTGTACTCTTGCTCATAATTGTTTGAATCGACTTCTAATGACAGAGTGTCCTAAGGTTGCAATATTCTTTTTGCTTGATTTTCAATAGATATGGAAAGCTAATAATTTTGCTCATTCTAAAAATAATGACACATTTGTAAATTTCGTGCTGAAAACAGTCTGACTTGTTTCACATTTAATAGCTGATCATCTGTTGTAGGATTGTGATGTAACTTACCTTGAAAGGCGAAATGCTGTAGTAGGAGGTACGAAACGGCTTTTGAAAAAATATGTAGAACTACCCGGTAATGGGCTTTATGGTTCGACTTCAGAAAAAATGTGTACAAATAATTTTTTGCGGTATCATAATACTAAAGTTGATGAATTATCCATGGAGGAAAAGCCAACTAAATTGAAAGGATTTGGTGCTTTTGCAAAGTGTGATATTGAGAAAGTAAGATATTAAATTGAGTGTAGATTTTGAACAGCTCGTAATTGAAAATAAGTTTTTCTTTTTTTATTTTCTTTTTCTTCATTGAATTGAGCATTAACGATTTTTTCATTTTAGATATTTTGAAACAGATTTTATGTCTAATCAAGTTTTTTGGTATGGGCTTATTACTTCTACTTTATACGAGATTTATTTTCAGCTTTTCCTTACTTGTTATTATCATTATCATTGCAACAATTATTATTATTATTATTATTATAACCATAATGATTATGTACTAATTATTATTGTTATTATTATTCATTTGCTCATGTTACTTGTGCAGAGAAATATTTTGGAATCCTTCAGAATGCGGATTTGACAGAATATATTGGGCATGTAATGACTAAAGAAGAATATTTTGGGAAACTTCAGCTTCGTTGTTCATTTAACAACTTAGAAGAATCCTATTTTGGCATTAAACTGACGAGTGATTTTTATGTTGATGCACGAAATTATGGTAGTATCGCGCGATCATTCAATCATTCGTGTGATCCGAATTGTAAGGTAGTTGCTGTATTGGTACGTTTCCACCTACTTCATTCTGTAACGTTTTCAATTTATAACTTGTGGTTATATGAATTTTAATTGAATCAATTTCTTTAGGTAGATGGAATATACAGACTGAAAATTTCGACGATTAAAGATATCAAAGCAGGTTAATCTTTTCTTACTTGCTGTAGATAATCAAGTTCACAATTATGTATGCTTATTTTTAAGCAAAATATCTTCAGATGTTTTTAAGGTGAGGAACTCACTTTTGACTATGACACTGAAATTCCTGAAGGTCTTGAAGGCATGGATTGTTTCTGTGATTCTAGCAACTGTCGACTAAAAATTGGGGTAACTTGTCCCGAATTCTTTTTTCCGTTTATTGCAATTTAGCAGTTTTGCTTTCATCAAATGGTGGAATTCAGAAAAAAGCAAACACGGCACGGAAAGCTGCAACTACCAAGAATCAGTCGCCGGTTGCTGAAAAAATCAGTAACAGAAGAACACGAAATGAGGAGTTAAAGACAATGCCATGTGTAAGGTCTCACTGAATAATTGACTGTAATTTATAAAAATTTATGTCATCTGAAAGTGTTTGTATCGCATTTTAGGTCTCAAGAAATAATTGTGATCATGACTCTCAGTCTTCTCAAACGAACAAAATTAATCAACAGTAGTTAGAAAAAAAGTGTGGTAAGTTTTCTATCTCATCGTTATTTGAAAAATTCGGAAATAAATATTCTCACTTTTTTGGCTAGTTTGTTTTTGTTTATCAAAAAATATAAATTCAACTGTATTTTTGGCAAATCTTTAATTACAGAATAAGGCTTCAAAATTTCCGGTTGTAAATCTGATAAAAATAAAGGTGTTTTTCATGGCATCTGGTATTTGGTTAAACTGATTGATGAAGATTCATATTTGAATTGAGAGTACATTATATCAAATATCTTCTAGCCTACTTCAAGTGCATCATGCTTTCAAATATCTACTTCTGAAGGAACATTAAAATTAATGACAATATTCAAAAGATAATACTTTTAAAGATGCCTATAAACTGATGGATTTGTTACAAACGTCATGTCTTCATCAACAATTAGTCCAAAAAAATCTAAAACGGCATGCTACAAGAATACCATATGAGATGCAGGTGATTGAGTCCCTCGTTTATTCGAATCCATTTCTGTATTTTGCTGGACACTCAGAGTTTTATTTTTAGCTTTATATGGATTGATTTTTGCACCACCTTTTTATAGCTTTGTCACGATTCATTTAAACACTTGCTTTGAGGCATGATTGTTTTCAGTAATTGGTGGATATTTACTCTAAAATTTAATCAATCATAAGGCACTCTTCTTCAACTTGAGTACATATGGTTTCTCTCATTGCTGACATAAATATACTTATTATCACTTATTATTTGCTTATTGAATTTTTGACGTGAGATTTGTGCTTATGTTCAAAACTTCGAAAGTATTATTTGTCTTATGATTGTAATAAGCGATGCATATTACTCATTATGAGCTTAAATTTCAGTCATGTTAGTCATTTATGGGTTTTAAAATACCTGTGTTTTAAGCGACCACATATTTCTCACTGAATTTTGAGTTAATATAGGTTTTATAATGTTATATAAAAGTAAAAGGGAAAAAATTATCCCGCGTAATTTTTTGTTATCGATTTTTAACTGCTAGCATAGAATGATGCGACAATTTGTTTGTAGATCCTACGTGATTTCTTCACATTTCGACTATTATAATGATGTCGTTGATTCGTTTTAAATGCTGATAATATTATTGAAATGTTTATTTCCGTGGCTTAAACGAGTATTTTGAAGTTGTATTTTATGCACATTATTCACGGTTTAGAATAGCAGCTTTTCAGGTTTTATTGGTTCCTATTTCCAGAAATACTATATTTAGGCATACATTTTGACTGCGAAAAACAATTTATTGTAGTATATAGCTCCTTATCATATGTAAAAGATACTCTAAAAAAATTTTATTCCAAAAATTAGCATATGCACAGGCGTTCTTAGAAGTATAAATATAATTTAATTATAGTATACTCCATTCTATATGATAAATTTTGAGAAGACAATCTTATTAGATAAGTCTACAGCGTAATCAGCGTGTTTATATTTTCATTTAATTGAAATTTTTTTGTAAATTTCTCAACAGGGAGTTACGTTATTTTTCAATATATATATATTATAAAAAGGAGGAGATGAAAGAAAAAAGAAATCTCTGGAATTCAATATCCGAAAGGAAACAGTGTAAAGTTCTTGTGGCTTGATTCTGTCTGTTTGAGTTTGTTTTGTCATTATATATAAAAAGAGAAGGATATGGAGCAGTCACATGGGACTTCGTCATCTAGGATAAAGCACCACTAGGCTCACTTTAGACGGCATCAACATTACGATTGAGACGAATCACACGCACAGTCCGAGGTATCTGCAAACCAATATAGCATCGCGGGATGACAACAAGTAAATGTCAGTTTTGAATCTGCAGTCGGTGGAAGGGCTCGTTCTTTCTTAACATAATGACTGCCTAGTGCTATTTGACAAAATGTTAGTGTTTTTGAAGTGATTTTAAAAAAAAGATGGTTATGACTTAAGTCTTTGAACCTAGCACGAATGGAAAGATGGCAATCTCAACTTACCAATATATATATAGAAAAGACCTAGAATAAACGATAGAAGTTAATGATGTCCAATAATATTAGTAACGAGCTATAAGTTATGTGAATGATTTCTTTGAATTATTGTTTATAACATGTGGTACCGTAGATGAACGTCTACTTAGTCCTGCCATAGACCTTTTGACTCGAAGTGTAGTTTTATCATTTACATCCGAAATTGTGTTATTCTTCAGACTTTTGCTATCATCATCTTCCTCGCTGCTGCTGCTGCTTTTTGGTTGTTCACTTTTTCTATCTCCAGCCTTACGTTTATGTTCTGCAATTTTACATTCACCATTATTAACTTAACTGTTAATTACTAAACAATATGAGGACTTCTAGCTTTTACTTTTGTACACTTTACCCATACATAAATTAATTAACAAGAAATGCACCAGTTGTACTATGAACTATCATCAATAATTTTTTGCTCTTTATGAAAGCTGTAGTAGCCTTACCGTGTTCTTTTGTAGGTGGGCGATCTTCATCTTCGTCAGCTCTCTTCCTCTCTTCTATAATGATTATTTGAAGATCTTTTACTATGCAAAGTATAACAGACTGCAAAAAAAAAAATATCTTCCCTGCAATTTCGGAAGGTAAGTGCGTTTCCGATTCATCGTTTCTGTGCATTATCTTTCTTCGACTACTCTTACTACGTGCCGTATCAGTTGGCCATAATAATACACTGAACATTAAAGCTAAAAACACTAGTCGCATACTCACCATAGCTTTTCTTGCCTACAATATACATATATTTTCCATCATTACAGATAAAACTTATTAAAATTCGAAACTATGCATTACTGAAAAGTTAAGGCTACACACCAGCAAAACATCAACACTTCGTTCTCCTAATTTTTTAACGTTTTCACGATAGCAATCAGTTCAATACTCAAAAGCATAAATTGAAATAACCATTACACTGAACATGACTACCTGATGCGTAATCCACAGGAACAACTACCTAGTGAAAAAATTGCAATTTGAGTCATCCGACATTTTTCTGCAGAAAAACTGAGCAAAAACCTTGCAAAATATATATGAGAAATCGATCATTAACGTTACCATTGTAGTCTACTCTTCGGTAAAAAAGTAAAGAGACTACAAAACAACCTTTCGAACGATACTTTCATAGATTAATAAAGAGACTTGATAACAAAATAACCAGGAGAGAGGATTGATAATGATAAAAACGTCAAAAACATAAATGTTACTAAAATTAAAATATTCACTCCGTTTTATTTGTTAATACAAACAGTACAGTAGTTTATTTATCACTTCCGATTGGGGTAAGATAGCAGCTATACTTTCACTTACCACCTAATTTCCAATACAAAAATCATAAGTGAGTGCTGCTTCACAAAAGAAGTATTTAAAATTGAATGAAGACACACCATCAGTTGTTGCAAATTTATGAATTGGTTTTTTAAAAAATATAGCGCAAAAATGGAAAAAGTACAGGACAGGATGCCAGAAACTTATGCCTACAATTAACACTAACTTTCATGTAAAGGATAATAAGAATGAGATGCAGAGAAATCTGCCAAAACCAGCCTACTATAGTTTGGAAAGAACATTACGTGGGGGTGCCATACATCATTTAAATACCACCCGGAAAGCGATCAGAAGAGTTAATCCCCAGCAGTATCGTCAATTATCCAAAGATTTCTTAAGCGAATTTCAAAAATGAATCAAGAACATACACCACACAGTTTAAGAGGTGGCCGAAAATTAATAGGTTACTTCCTAGAAAACAGCTGTCTGAACTCACATCGATTAAATTCCCAGCGATCAGTCCAATTGTACAACTGTTACTTGACTTATGAACTTTGTCACATCACTTTAGTCGTAACCTATGAATTCTGGTAATAAGTTCAACACAATCAATAATTGGCACACATAATCCGACAAATGATACTACGTTATTACTCCAAATAATCTATAAGTCATGTTACCATTAAAAACCCTGATCTAGAACATCTAGACTAATGAAGATTTACAGAATTTAGCGCGATCTTCTTCTTACGAACTTAACAACAATGTTCTACGACAATTGATTACCACATTATGGACAATTTCACACCATACTTACAACTAAATAAATTAAATGACTGTAACCAAATACACCTCTGCGTCACGAAACAACAAAATCCAGTATTTAAAGAAGTCCAATTTCCGATGCTCCTGCTAAAGTAGATATATCATATATTTTACAATTTGTAAATAATACTATCCAACTTTTCATCCACATGTTAAAAGCAAATATAATTAGAATTTTATAATTTATGACTGATCACATTCGTTACAGGCAACATTTTAAAAAAAATGCCAGAAAAAGAGATCACTGCAAAAGTAGTATTCAGCGCTTTTTCTTTGTTTCTGTAACATCTGCAACAGCTTTAGCTGAACTACATGAATTATTCCGGTGAAGAGATTTTGCAACAATTGTGTGTGTAGTCGACTCTTCTTTTTCGACTACTTCCTCACCTTTAGGTGCTTCCATTGACACACCAAATTCGTTTACTCGCGTTGGATCAACGCGATAAATCCACCTTTGATAAATATATATCTAAAATGTACATTAAAATCAAATATGAAAGTCGAATGCGTACCGTTCACCTCTACAAACAATAAGAAATGATCAAAAGACATTTATAGTGTGCCGTAAACAGCTAAATAGTAGGTGTCTGAAAGAAATTTGATGGACTGAGAATCATTCAGCAGATAACAATTTTTTTAATGAAATTTCAGTCATATCAAATCTTCAGCTCGAATTAAAACATTTAAATATAGAACTTCGAAATACAGAAAACCCTGTATCCAATAAGAGTTTATAAATGACAAAAAATCAATAATTTAAAGACTGGAAAGAACCAACCAAAAACACAACATCATCCCGAAAACAACCCAGACGATACATTGTCGGCATTTTGATGACGAAAGCAAAAAGGTCGTCAATGAAGGTATTAATGAATTTGTATGTCAACATACGCCAAGGTAAATGAGCCACGGACTTCAATTTGTAATTTATGAACAGCTGAAAAAATTGAACACATTTAACTGATCAGAGTAAACGATCATAACAAATATTAAAATACAAATTTACACTTGTGTTGAAAACCTACCTGAGGTGTCATCATAATGAAGCCAAACGTGAGCAAAAAGCTGTAAAGCATTCCTAATATCCAACTATACCATCCACGCTGCTCAACATACATAAGAGAATATACTGCATAACCACCAAGTAATGGAAAAAGCACCCATGATAAATATTTGAAGGCTAACTGAAACAGCTGGAGATGTTAAATCAAAATATGCAATAAATTGAACAACAGGTTTTCGAGAGCTTAAAATAAAATATAAAAATGTTCAACTATATTTGCAAAACTCTTGTATATCACAAACAATGTAACAATGTATTCTAAAACTACTTTTTACTGTTAGAAATGAGATATGTACTAACTTCATCATACTGCTTTGTGTCTGATTCCACATATGATCCTTTATCAGATACCATAATTTTCGGTAAAAAGCCGAAAATTTTTCGCGTCCGATCAACCTACAATGAGAGTCTCGAAAGATTGCAATAATTTTCAATACATTATTTTTAATAAAATAAGAGCAAAGAGTTGTAAAAATGACTGAAAATTCCTCACCACATAGAGGATGGTATCTAGCTCAATTAAGTAGGCAATTTTAAAATAAAGTAATCAAAGAAAACAATGGAATGATAAAAAAATACAGTTATATTGACACATTTCGGTATTTTCCACAATTCAATCAATAGTCCCACTCCAACGGATACTTTTACAACCCAAGAAGTATCATTGTCAAGAATATATAGGAAAACGATCACAGATTGAAAGACACTAAACAAAACTGAACGAACGGATAAACCCTGCAATAAAACTGTTAAGTCGAACTTGCATTTAAAAAGATGGAATTCTTGAAATTTCCTTTAATAATCAAAATCCTCTTGTACCTCCAAGGTTTTGCGTGATCTCCAAAACTGAATATCATTTTTAAAGGCCAAGAATTCAAAAACAGTATGCAACAATGAAACTGCAATAGTAAGTCCTGAAAACATATAAAAATATATTGTGATACATAGTGAAAATGAGTTTAAAAAGAGAATGACTAGCCTAATAGTATTGGATTCGTTTCAAGAAGTGCTTGTTTAATTGAATCTTGGTCATCATCTCCATCCTCGAATAGTTCACCACCAAACATTTGTAACCATTTTGTACGCATCTAAATAGCTATTAAATTGGAATTTAGTAGCAAATTAAATATAAAACTGCAACGTAAAGTATAACAAGGCAATGCCGTCCAAAAAATGCTTTATTTATTAATTCTGAAAATCATTCATCAATATTTTGACCATTTTTAAAAATCACACAAATAATAAACAATGTGAAATTTTCAGGTTTGTTTTCCACGTTTTTCGAAATGATCAATTTAACCTATCCAATGTTATGAAAATACCTGCTGTGATGCATACAACTGCCATTTAAATAGTGATATAGGTGAGTATCTAATTGATAATTTTATTTCTTTAACCGAGTCATTTATAACCATGTAATCAGCTCCCAAGTTCCAATAATCATTAAAAAGAAATATAGGTTTGTAAGTATTATCAACTGGGTCAAATTTCACAGCTTCATCAAGAGGAGCTGGTAATGAACCTAAAACAAATTAAATGAAAGAGCGTCATTAACCGAAAAATATCAAAAAATGTTTTTATTCATATTTATAGAAAATTAAACTAAAAATTTTTGCCTTTTCGTATTTATAAATATAACTAACAAACACCTCTCTGCCAGACTGTGTGATCATTAACAAGGTTAATGGTTAAGTTTGGATGCCAATAATTCAGTATTTCAAAATCCATCACTTCAGCTTTCTTCTGCTCTTCTTCGCTTTGCTCTGTCTTACCAGTTAAAAGATTTTGAGTTCTCTTGTAGTATTTTTTTTTATATTTATTCAATCGTCGTACATTGTATAACACCTGAAATCTTGGTCTATTTTTAAATGAAACCATATGCTATTAAGACATATCTTAATAACGTTGAACACTACTCAGAGTTTGCCTAACTACTAAATTTTAAATTGAATAAATAATTACTGTAAAAAAACACACTTAAACCTCTACTAAATGTAGCAAGATAACCTCTCTTTTAACATGATTCCGACTTCTAGGATCAGGTGACTGATTTTCTTTGACGATAAAAACGTGTATGTACAACGAGCCATTATTGGCAAGGGACTGGGGAATAGGGAATGTAGCTGATTTGACACGCGAACCATCACCATCTGGACCAGAAGTCCAATCGCCATAAGTCAAACTGCTTTCTTTCCAAAAGAGCGCCTTTTGCTCATTAAATTCCTTGAATTTATCTTGCTGAAAATGTTGTGTAAAAGATAAGAATGAATCGAAGAAAATTCAATCAAATTTTGCTTCATAGTGATATAATACACTTTTTTGGCACAGTTCTTACACTTTCGTCAAAAAGAGTATTAAAAAGATAACTATAATGAGCATATACTGCGCATAAACAATACTGAACAACAAACGAACACACCGAATCAGACAGATATACATAAAGATCAAATTTCTGTCCAGGTTGGAAAAGATTTCTTGATGGTAACGTTCCACTAAGCATTGATGAACCCGTGTTATTGAAACCAATGTTACCCGGTTGCCCACCCATAAAATCTGCAAAATAATCATTTTCGTACAATCAGATAGTAACAACGGATAGATTAAAAGGATAAAGAACTGTGTTACTTTTAATAAGAGTCGACACAGAGCAAACAATTACAATACGATAAAACATTCCCTTGATGAACGCCCAAGTATCAAATGCCTGAAATATTACTGTAGCGTACGCAACACAACCATCACTTTATTTTAAAGTTACAAAAGTATCATCAAGCCATTAAAAAAGATTGTGTGAATAAAAAGAAAAAGAATATTGAGATTAATTAATAGATAGAAATACAAACCCTGTTGTGCTCTGCATTTGTTGCTGCTTCATCTGAAGAATCCAAGGTGCGACCAATACTTACTTCGTTACTTTCAGGCATTATGCGCACGCTAAATTATACCTGCCGAAAGTAAACAATGTAATGGAGGAATACTGAATAATAATGAGCAACCAAAGTACTAAACACGCTCTACTCCGCTATTTAGCAATATCCTTCGGCACATAACCAGTAGCATACTTTTATACAAATCCTTACAAGTCACATTACTCAGTCTTATCATTGTAATAGATTAGAAGATTTCACGTGAAGATAACTATTATGCGACTTCCTTCCGAATAATATCATAAATACACAGTGACAATAATTTTAAACAAATCCGCCTTGAGGTTATGTTGCAAATAGAGTCTGACATCTTAAGAGAGTAAAGATTGATGTGCAACGAAAAAATATTGCAAAAGCAATTCAGAAAATGTGCAGAAAATTGCAAAGTGTAGTTTCGGTGATGATAGCAACTTACACTTCATATCATAACGTAGGGAATCAAGAGAGATAGGGAGGAAGAAAAGAATACAAAGAAGGAACACAGTCAAATTGTTAATTGCTGCAATGCTGCCAAGAAAGTGTATTCGTAAATTGTCATTTCTGTTTGAGAGTTTGATTGTCCACAAAAACGACTATGCCAGTTACGCGCGATGCAAAATTTAATCTCATCGCAATAATATTCTAAAATCAACTTATTAGACTATATAGCATGGATACTTCAGCGACATCATAAGATGAAGTATCGATGTCATATTGCTGATGTATGGTTTGTAATACTGACTCAAGAATAATGTCCATCATTTCCACTGTTTTTACAAACTGCTGAAAAACCTATATCACTTGAAGCTAGAAGGCTCAATCCTTGCGTCGCACTCCTAAGTTTTTTTTGCCAAGATTATGAGAATTTGAAGCTTATCACATTATTGACACTATCGCTTTCCACAAAATGTTTATTTGCATTTTAATTTGACAATGTTTTAAAATTTATTCAGCAACATCGTACAAAATAGCAACAAACATTTGCACAGGATTGAAACCACCAAAACAAATTATTATGAAAAAGAATCGATCATGTCACCGATAAAAATCATTTGCAATATTCAAGTGGCATAAATTTCGATTTTAGCGATCCCAGTGTGATGATAATTATTCAAAAGCTATCAATTCTTGACCAGTCCAATTCATGACATTTACTTTTCAATCCTTGCCTTTCTAGCACCTGATTGACTTTACAGCAACAAAATTTTGTTTTAGATTTGAATATCGTGATGTATATCTGTTCGATGACAGCCCTGTGCTAGAAAAGCATAGCAAGAAATTTAGTAGCTAGTTTCTAATTGATTGAGAATCTAGTCATTGAAACATTTTAGAGTCAATTCTGATTTATTTTCCCTCTGTGGTAATACAATGTCACTAAATCTAATCAAAATTCAGTACAGCATTCATCCAGCAGTTATTTATGAAAAACATGCAATTATGAGATGAACAAAACAAATTTTCATTACAAATTATCGAAATTATATTTGGAATGTGAGAATGTCCTTTGTCAATCTGCGTAAAATTTCAAAATTTCGTTAAGGATTCCATTTATGCGTTCATTAACATACTATTTCAAAAAATTGAGGACTGAACAACTTTAAACAATTTCTTGATGAGACATGAGTTGACTGAGAAATGAGTTTGAAGAGTTGGAGAGTAATCGAAACGTAATTAGTATCAATAGGAAGGTGAAAATTTTGAGAATACTTCAGAATGGAAATATGTGCAGAATACATAGATACATACTCATGAGCAATTACTATGTATCGTACGAAAAAGTTAGGCATATACAATCATAACATGACACAGACAACTAGGAAACAGGTAAGTATTAAAGTAGATAAGACCGTCAGTGGATTTAAGGAATAAAAATAGTTGATCATAAGAAAAAAGCATGGAATTAATATAAGAAATGACCTAGTGACGGAAAATAACAAAAAACATACTGATACCATTTGATGAAGAATCAATAAACTCGAAAAATAAGTGGTTATCACCAGGATTATGGTCAAAACAAATATGAAGTTTATGATGGAACTAATACCTAAGAATATCATTTGAAACTAGCTGTTAAAAAAGTCCCAAACAAAAAATTCCAAGTGTTAAACACAGTAGATAAATACTGGTATTAATTACATGATGATCATTTTGAAATATGAATGAACGCTGGGAACACTTTTTTCAAGCAAGATGAAAATAATTACTGAAAACGAGTTGTGCATGTGACTGATTACAACATGGATCTCAACGACTAAGGATTAATCACGTTCAGTGAGTACAGAAAGAATATACAGTGTAGTTGGAAAATTAAGAAAGTAAGAATGAAATTAAATATATAAGCACTATTCCATGCAAAAAAAATCTCAGCGTATATTAAGTAGAGAATACAAAGTAACAAAGCCTCTGCAGTTGTATTTTGAGCAGAGACATCAAAAATAAGTTGTTTTCACAGAATACTTAGAGGAATACATGAAGAGGAGAGGGTAGTGTAGTGTAGACCCAGAAATAATGCATAATAATGCTTTCAGCTGAACTTAACAAAAACCAGAACGTTACATTTTGTCTTACGACCTTTTATTTCATGTTCCTTTCTATCACAACTGTTTAAAAAATACAAAAAACTTGGCTCAGTTTTTTGTTACTGAGCCGAACAGTCAAATGATCCAAAGTTGAGCTAATTCTAGTTTTATTTCATTAGCGAAATCTTAAGAGAACAGTGATTGCTTCCATAAGATGCAACTCTCATGTATCAAGTGGACATCACTCACGCAAATGGTCAATGTTTCAATCTATAAAGATTAAAAGACTGGCATTACTGCAGCATGATTTTGATTTTAGTATCTTGAGTGAACATTAACGCACCGAAAATTTATTTCACCTTCAAAGTGAATGATTTTTGCGATGCACATAATTTAAAAAAGAGCTGAAAAATAACTTCATTATGTCTACTATATGAAAAACCCGTCTCACCTGCAAGCTTCAATATTACTTATTAAACAAATATCAGATCACCATTCATTGCACTGAACTCAGAATTTATCTCATTAAAATTCATGAGTAATATGAAGTTCATTCTAACCAAAGTTTCAGGTCAGAATAATGTTGACTTAAAAAACAAAGCTATAATTAGAACTAATAATGTACAGTGATACAGTTATATGAAAGACCGAATGAACTATCTTTATAATTTACACTTGAATATCAAATAAGACGAAAATTAAAATTCATCTTGAAATTGCACTTGAGTTATTATTTCCTTTTCATCTTCTAAAGATTTTAGTTAACACTACGCATCCAAAATGCTATTTTATCTTACCCAGTCCCTAATATTACTGTCTGAATTTTCAAAGTGGTATATTGGAAAAATCAAAGAAAATTTCACTACATATGTTAGACAATGCTCTTCGTCAACAGAAATGCACTGGAAGCAATTCAGGAGTAACACACAGTCTGTGAAGTTAATATATCCTGTGTAGAAAAAATGATTGTAAGAAGAATATTGAGAAGGAAGGTAAAGAGACTAAGTATCTGATGTTCAACACTGTTAATCGACAAATGACAACAAAACTACACTGCGATATTATTGGATTTTCATGTTAAAATCAGTCGTGTGGGGATAGTTCTGGGATATTGAAGCCTCCGCTTCTGTTTATCTTCATTTAAATTTACTCAAAAACAAAGTTCGCTTGTTTTTTGAAAACATGAATAATTGAAATATAATTCCTTTACGCATTCAGACATTATTTAAAATATTCAATAAATACAAAAAATATAAAACTACAGCATTTTTTTGAAAACCATAACATTCTATTTTCTTAGGTTTTAAATGGAATTTTCGGCAGCATTAAATCAAGCGTTGTATTATTATCAAAAAGATATCTGATTCTGATCAAAAATAACTCATTTTATCATTATATATATATGGATGTCAGTCTTCTTTTCCGCTTCACTGATTCTGGCGCTGGATCATATTTCAGCCCTCTTACTCTACTTGTCCTGCGCTCAGATTTGTTGTGCTGATCTCTTTTGCTTTATCCCCATGGAATTCATAGCAGTTATCAAATGAGACGCTTTCAAGCTTCTTTTTGAGTATTATCGACTGAATAGCCAGGACGTGATCAAATACACTGATCTTCTTCGCTTGGCGTTTATGGAAGTTCGTTACAATCCCATTCCAAGTCACATACAGAATTGTATTCATCCTATACCTCATCTTTGACTCGAGTTTATTAGGAAGTAGATTGTATTTTTACTTTTTCTCAGTCTCGACTGCTGTTAACCTGTCCTGACTACTGATGCCAACCTCTATCAGCATTACTTCACGTTGCTTCTTATCGTGTATCATAATATCCGGTCGATCCACACTTATCTTTATAGCTGTTCTCACACTTATCGACTCTAATCTCGACGTTCTCATTCACGAAGACCTGCTGAACAGAATGGCTTCGTATGCGCGAGGATTCTATCAGATCATTTTTCTTGCAGAGTCTCAAATGGATACATCGCAGGACCTCAAAATGTTCTTATAATCGTGATGTAACACTTTTTAGCACTACGTTGTTAGATGGTCATCCGTCTTCACACGTTCCGTAAACTTTTGACACATATTGTCTCAGCTTCAAGCATATTTCTACAGGAGTGTTTTCTGAGCTGCTTATAGTGTGATGTTTCCGACGCTAGGATTTTCTGCGAGGTTGTACTTAGTCTTTAGATAGGGTACAATAATTGTTAAGTACGTGTAATAAGCTTTCTCCTACTTCAGAATCGCTGCCCTTGTGGTACAAATGGGTGCGGTATCTACAAATACATTATGTAGCTGGAAAAGCATAAGCTCACTCTTCTGCTCAACATAATGAAGTCCACGTTCTAGCTCGTTTCTTGGAAGGTACAATCTCTTCAAACATGCAGGTTGGTTATGAATTTTGTATTCATTTAATACTACCCAATATCGTGGTCTATAGCTTTGAAGTCTTCTGGTTCTAATTTGAGCAGTCTATTGTAAAAGGTTATTGAATTTATTTAGCATGCTCATTCACAGCTTTGATAAAGTTCTTGCCATTCAGTGCAGTTTTGGCTAACCGCTCAATTCTTATTAAAATCTTTGCTCGAACTTCATCGTAGCTTTCAGGGGTAAGTGCACTACTTCTGTCCTCCTCTATTCCAAAGTATTTGTTTATACCCTTGAGTTCCTTCCAATAGCGCCATCTCATCAGCGCACACCTCGATGTTGATCTACAAAATTATTGCTAAAAAAATGGTTTTACTGGGCTATCACTGTACACACTCATTATTTGATCGCAAGACAAGAAATAACGAGGGCAATATCTACGACAATTCCAAATCATATAGATTCTGGAATGATTTCAGTCCACAATGTTTCGTTCTAAATGATAAAAAAAGCCTTTGACATATTAATCTTGTTTGTGATACCAGTAAAAATTTTTAATCAATCAACACTGATTAAATGCTCATTCATAAAACAAAAAAGTTATGTATGGTAGTTAAATCTAGAAAACTAACTAACAATAGTCACATTAACCAATTTTTTTTGATAAACCAATTTTTTTTGATAAATCTTTTAACTGAAATATGGCGAGACCAATTATCTTTGTACAGATCAGTGATCCGTAGCACTTCCTTTTTTTTGAGCTATTTATTTCTAAATTGTGTTGATGATATATTGCTGGTTCAAAGAATTTTCTATAAATAGAATTCTCAACCCTCAAATTCACAGCTTATTACTTTGTAATTTTCATAATGCGGCATAAAATTATTATGCGTTTTCTATGAGAATGATTTTATACATGATATTTTTTTAAAAAGTATGTGGATGACTTCTAAGCTGAACATTTCTTTGACAAGTTTGACATAGGTTTTCTGACGCTATATACTTATTGAAGCATAGATTAATGATCAAAATCATTCACACATAAACGAAATCATTTGCAAAATCCACGTTAACCTATTCATATTTCCGCAATTCGTAAAAAACAAAACTTAGTGCTCCATTTTAGAATATTTTCAGTATTTTCGATGGCTAGGAAATGCTCGCTTTACACCGAAATTATCGTTCATTAATTTAACATATGAAAGAAATGATTCCACGGTGGGTATTGAATCACTGTCAATATACTGATACGAAAGTATTGTGCTTAAACGAAATAGTGCAGTTGATATTTTATTTAGTAATTTGCGTGCAGTAAAATAAGTGTTAGAGTTTGACATGAGCTACAGCAGACAACAAGAGAAAACATTCTTATAGTTCTACTGATTCCTTATTTATTTAAGCTTTCAGATTTTCAAAGTCAAATGAACTAATTATAAATTATTTCATAGACGAAAATTTTCACAAAATTTTTTTAAATGTGCGCAATTTAAGCAAAACTCAGGAAATGATTTGTGTTTAGAACGTTTACTAGAAATGCCGAAAAAGATGCAAGATTGGCAATGCTACACATGCAGCTTTCCTTCTCTATACATTTGTAGAAAATCATCTTAGGTGGTCTGTCCTCCGTTTCGTCAATTTCCCCAATTTCGAAGATCTTCATGGGTGGTCTTACTGCACGTCAACTTACACTTTGATTTCTTCTCATATTTATTTCTCCAAACTTGCTTATTCTCTACTTGAAAATGAAACAGATAAGCAAGTGAAACTCTTAATTTCTCATTTACTGCTAATAAATTACTGTTCAGGAGTTTTTTAATTTAATACACGAAATTGTTTAAGATTCTTCTGAATAAACAAATGGTCTCACTTGTTATTGAAACTTTAATTCAATGTAATTTTTAGTAACAAGCTAATAACGAAAATCTCATGTACTCCTTAATCCCTTTTGTATAGGCTCATAGTTTGTTTCAACACTCAGAAGCAAATAATTGAGTCATTTGCGTCGATATGCTCGGGATTCGGTCGCTGAGGAATTAGAATGAGCTACAGCAGACAAAAGAAGAAAACATTTCCACGGTTCTACTGATTCCTTATATTTATTAACAGTCTTTCCACACTTTCTGATGTGTATGCACAATGTGTACTGTTTTAATTTAAAATTTTATAAAATCGACGATGTTAGTAGATGTTCTCATTTGTTGACTTCTTTGTTCCATTCTCACAAACTAATTCAAATATTACACAGATCCGAAGGGACATTCAAGAAAACAACACTAGCACAGCATGAAGTTTCTTATTACCAACAGGACAGTTTTTCAATCAATTTTGAGAATATGAGTCATGAATTTTCTCGAAATGCTTATCTGATGTATAGTGTATCAAAAAATGCAAAAAAACAGGTACCAATAGTTTGTTTACGGACTTTTCATCAAATTTTAAGAGATCAGACTTCCAACAATATTGGAAAATGCACATAATACGTTGATTCTTCATAATTCACTATAAATCTTTGAATGTTTTATTATCATAAAACTGTCACCCCTTCCATTCTTCTCCACAGTACGGAGAGACACGAAATGGTTGGTGGCTTCTGGTTTTCATAATCCATTTGCATTTGAGAAGTTGTGCTTGCTAATATGATAAATTTTAAAATTATACAAAAGATGCACCGCAACCACTAACTTTTAATGAATTATTTATGATTCCGGACTTTGCTGTAGCACAGAGTTTTCCTTCTTTAACCTGTACTGATGACACGTGAAAATATGTCCTTCAAAAGTATCAAAACCCGTTATGAATGCCGTGATAATATTCAAAAAGAGATAGAGAAATAAAGATTTTAATTAAATGAATTCACATAACCAATAACCAAAATTATGTAACGTTAATGTACCAATGTTACTTACGTGTCTAATGAATTACCTTCATGCGATCGATATCTCATTTTTCTTTTCAACTGACAGACAAAACGAGGAAGTGAAGCATTAGCTGTAATGTTTACTTGCAAGTTAGAACATATTTACAGTTTGAAATAGAAATGATTTTCAAATCCTGTTTGGCGGCAATGAAAATATTACCATCACCACTTTGCATAAGTTACTATTCTTTTTGCGACTTTTGGTAAAGTACAAGACGGATTTTACAGACAAAATGAAGCATGCCATCTGATATATAAAGTATTGCAAGCAACTTTCTTACACGCTCTCTCGCGATGAAGTATTGAATTACTGTTTTAACACTGCCTAAAAAGAACACAATTGATGGAATCGATTGTATCAATATTGACATTTGTGAAAAAAGAAAAAGCTATAAAGTGTGACTAATATTCAGTATCTTAGATGCCTCACATATTTGGATTTTTGCTTCTATTGATTCCCCCCAGACTGCTGATAAATGGTCCAATGGCCAGCGCCAGGTATTTGCTACCAGTTTTTCCCACACTACTCATACTCTCAATACTCGTTTAAATTTTATTCTAGGGAGTGATTATTTTCATGCTTCAACTTAAAAATTTTTTCAAAAATAATCTCATATCACGAGTGAACGTTTAAAAATTTCATCTGCAAAAAAACAACAAATTGTTGCAACAACTATAATTGTAGGTGATGCACGAAGAAGAATTAGACAAATGTATGCTTATTAAATTGAACAAGTTTATCAGTGCGTGTACTAGCGATAGCTAAAAACAGAAAATGTTATTATACTGGAAATTGATTGATTTTCTTAATTCATCGAAAAGTTTACAGCGGGAAGTCAGTATCTAATTTAATGCCAATATTTACTTCTCATTTACGCAATGTATGTACATCGAACATCAGCTACAAAGAAATTAATATCAGTCTACTTGTTATTAATGTAACCAATTCAACACCATTTTTATTTTTATTTTTTCAGACATTCAGAACAACCACAAGTCAGGTCAGAATTCATTGCACTGTTGTCATCTCATTTTTTGCTGCGAGAAATAGCTTTTAATTACTCTATAGTTCGAAATATTCTTGTTCACTATGGAAAGTGCAAATGTTCCGCTGGATGCAGGTTTATGATAATAATGCATTAGCATGAATTAATACGCAAACTACACAAATTTTCGAAATTTTGTCATTGATATAAATGAACGATGTATACTTTGATTTGTCTTGGAGTATTAATTTCATATTTTTTTGGCTTCCTAAATATTTAGAAATATATCTGGAAGCCAAGCAACTAATGGCAATAATGAGACAAATCAAAGTATACAACGTTTAATCACAACTAGCTTTCTGGATGGATATGTAGTACGTAAAGTGGAAGCAATGAATGGTCGAATTTATCTTCCTCGATTTCGACGCAACTACTGGCTAGGAACAAGATATTACTACATGGTATTTAGTTATTTTAGAAAATAGTAAAAAAGATGTATGAGAATTCAAATAAAGCTTTGTATCTCAAAATTTTTTGGTTTGACAACTTATTAATTTTATTTTTGCACCATGACTTCTTAATTATTATATGCAGGAAGTTGAAGTTGAATAATGTCTTCTTTTTTTTTCGGATAACATCAATTATTTAATTACACGCGACACATGCCTGTATCGGATGAATTCAACTGAAAGAGAAAATTTGGAATATGTCGACGGATCACCCATCTATGATATCGTTTATCAGTAAGTTGTTCAAATCTATAAATTCGTAAATTTTTGTGGCGAAAATTAACCATGCTATTTAAGAAATTTAATATTTTCTATTTATTTTTATTCAATCTAAGTGGTTTAAGGTGCCAGAAGTACGTTGAGTACTGTTGTGGATTGACTTGCTGTTTGAATGAATCGATTTCTAATTTAAATGGTTTGTCTTTATACCGGAAAGTTCTTGGTCCATTGAACAGAGCTTCAGTTTTTCAATTTCAAATTCTAGTTTTCGTATTTATCTGTTGCTGCTTACAAAATTGAATTTGTAAACTGCTAGTAAATGTGATAAAACACTTCGTTAAAAAAATTCTTGTACCACTCACCTGTGAAAAATTTGTCCTGTAAAATGTAGTTATAAAAAAATACAATCTGTCGCGTCTGCACACTCGTTTTCCATGTTTGAAAAAAACCGAAAATTTGAATAAATTACCAAAAAAAATCCGGCTTCAATTCACTTCACTCACATGTGATTATATTGTTCCTTGTCATTTTGCAAAGTTACAGATTGTTTGATTTTAGAAATGACTTGCATGATTTATTATTAATTTCTTTACCAGCGTTACTACTTTACATAATTTTCAGTCCATTTTGCGTATCTCAAACTAAAGAATTTCTATCTTGCAAAATTCAACCATTTTGATGCCCGTACACACAGTTTTTGAATTGTTGAGAGACAGTTTCCATGATGAGTGAGTTTTTAAACGAGACACATTTCATGGTGAATGAGAATTTAAGCACAAATTCAAATATCAAAGTCAAAAACTGTCAGATGTTTCATGTCTTCTTTGAAGTGAAATGAGTAGTTGGTACGAGTTAATAACAAAAAAAAGAGCATGGAATTCATTCACATTAGTTGTTTCTGAAGCGTAAATTCTAGAAAAACATAGTGATTTGCTTTATTTAAAATGATTTTGATAAGAAGTTCTGTCATTTTTGGGCATGGACTGAATGCAGTTATTCCTTCATTATTATTACATACATTATTCATACAAAAAGGTAGGCAAGTCACTGTAGGTTTGTGTTCTTTCCAGTTACTACTTGTTTTGTAATATTAGGTATAATATACTGCAAGCGCTGTGAGAGGAAAGATTTAGGAAGATAAATTATAGAATAGTATCAGGGAAGAGAAGAAGAACGAGGTTAGGAGTAATGTCTTTATCAGAATCCGCCTTTGTTAGTCGCTGATTTTGAAAAAGTGGGCCATTGTTTGTGACCTAAATGATTTTAGGTTGATGTAATATCTCAATTGGTTGATGCCTACTCTGTCGGTTATGCACCGACAGCTAACCCATGAACTTGTCTTATTTAGCGCTGTTGTTTGCCTCATCCAGTCTAAAGGTATTTTTTATTTTCGAATCACAAGTTCACGTTTTACAGTTTCTCGTTGGTCGTTGAACTCTGTGTCGTTTAACACATGTAATTCCTACAAGAACTCACAGTAACTACAGGTTGAAAACAAACTCAGAACCAAAGAGATTTACAAATTTTTAAAACTTAAGATTACGGAAGCTGAGTCTAATCAAATATAACTGTAAAAGTGAAATGAATAACCTGCATATCATTATGCGATTGGTAATAAATTTCTTAGATCTCTTCTGCCGTTCATTATTTCCTTGTGAAATCCTGAACGCTATGGCAAGATCATTTTGGAATACCCTAAACTTTGCATTCTTCTGATTCTGCTATAATAATAAGAATTCAAAGAATCGGTATATATTTAATGAATATTCTTATTCTTGTGGAGACTGCAGTCCTTCTTACTAACATAATTTTCATGGTTTTTACTTGTTCATGCCTGAAAATTTTATCAACTTCAGAAAGTGTACAGTATTGCCCGAATTCCCAGTTACCTGAATTCGACAACAGTGGTTCCGTGAAGCAGTGTTTGCCAGGTTTTTTTTTTGTGTATGAATGCAAGTGCACAAAATATGCTGCAAAGAGATTTTATGGTAATCTTACAGGACGTAAAGGAATATGTGCTCCTGGATATTCGTGTTACTTTTCTGGCACAAATTACCAATGTTGCCCTGCAGAAGAAGAATTAAATTCAGATAACATACTCGAATGCCCTTCAACTAGTATTACAGTACTTACAGATGCCGGTTTACCCATCACATGCGTCCCTACAGTCAATGACTGCCCGCAGGTGATTCACATGACATCAATTCAAACAAGTTTATTTTTCTTTCTTCTACTATTTATATACGAAATTTCACTTCAAACCTACACAATTTGGATATTTTTTCTTTTCACTACTATTTATATTTGAGAAAAACTAAGCCACACATTATAAAACTAATTTTGACAGAGTACAATGCAATGCACTAATGTTGGAAAACATTCGATATGTTGTGAAAGGCTGCCATCTCTTAGTGAGAGATTCGATGATGTTCCTCCAATGACAGGATTAAGCTTCCTGGACGGAACAAATTCACCTGTTGAATTGAACAATGAATTCTTTGATGCGTCAAATTTGGAATGCCCAGAACCAGCTTTCACTATACTGGATGGGAATGGAGATCCATTATCGTGTAATGAAGAAGATTGTACCCATCAAGTAACTTTTCCATGATATACTGAGCAAGCTTGATTCAATATTTAAAGTTTTTATTCGTAGTTCTGCAGTTGCAGAATTTGGAAGTTTATAATCAGTGAAGACCATTCCATGAAAAAACAAGATATCATTCATGATGAAAAACTTGCTGATTTTGATAATTAAGTACTGAAATGTGCTGCGAAATGCATTCATATTCTAGCGGTTAAATTAAAAATCAAAAAATTTCGAAATTCTCAATTACTTGGCTAAATAATACTGACCTTTTCTTGCGAGCATTTGTAGTAGCTGTTTTAGACTGGTCGCTTTTGCTACAAAATATTGAACACACCAATTTGTTGCGAAGGCGAAGAAAGAGCAGTTGGAGATAACGAATTACTCACAAAATTCTTACGAGAAAACAAGCACAGTAATGAAAAGCAAGCTCAGTGGAACAGTTTCAAGTATTCTCCCTTGACATCTACTCAGAAACAACTACAGAAGAAACCATTATCGAGTAATAATCGTTTACGATATATATCAAATATCAAAGACCAAAGTTCTGTTTTCAACAGTGTGAATTTCGAGGTAATTTCTTTGATACTTTCTACCAGCGAAATCTATTCTTGCATCTTCAATTTTCGTGCACTCTATAAATGCATAAAATTTTCTCTAATAATTATGGATAAACACAGTATATGATTACAAGTAGAGTGTATAGCATGCAACACTGATATTTTAGAACATGGCGAGAATAAATTAAAGTGTTTATCAATATTGTTGTCTGCAACACATATAAATGAATGATGATTTAAAAACAGCTTTGCAGGACAAAAAGCCTAAAGGTGAAAAAATATCAACAATCGTTGATGGACTAGTAGATACGAAACTTCTTCAAGAACAGCGACAGGTTGATGAACACGAACAGAAATTGCAGGGAGCAGAAATGCACAGTGTAGAGGAAGTAATTAAAAATCAATCTAAGAAGGTATTTCAATCGGATATATTGCTAGCCACTACTAGTAGTATATCAGCCATTTCAACGACTCCTTCCACTACTACAACAGAGACTACCAGACTGACAAAGGTAGCAACAACATCGACAGCAAGCACTGTAACGACAGTCACCACAACATTGACAACAACAAATATAAAATCGACGAAAAGCATAGAAACTACGGCATCTGCAGATAAAACTCTTGAAAAAACACATGTAAGCAATGCTCAAAACAAAATGTCTTGTATTTTTTTACCACAAACTATTTATTTCAAAAATAAGGTAATAAACGACCTTGAAATGGTACAACAAGCAGTTAAGCTATATTTTATTTGTCGAGTGTCAGCCAAAAGTATGAAATGCAGAGAATGAAAATAGCCACCATGAGATATTTTTTTGACAAATGAATTTTAGAGAGGATTATGGACAGTTGAGAATTATTAACTCTCGTACAAAGTAATTCCTAACATGACCTCATGTTTATAGCTACACTACTAACTATTGCAGAAAAAAACTCAGCAATCGTTACTATCAGTGGAGTCTCAAGAAATCCCAGTAGAAACGATTCGGTATAAACCTCATAGTGCTGGAGGCTACTCTATTTCCCGGGCACTGTCAACAAAAACCCATCAGCTGCCAGAAAATTTAAAAGCATTTGCACGAGATTACCTCCTTGAACATATTCGACGTGGATGGCCCTATAGTGAAGAATTCTATAGAACTTATGGTAGTTTTAAAATTTGAAATATTTTTTTTATTTGACTCTTTCTGAATGCACGCAGAGCTCACAAGAAATAAGCAATTGTAGTGTTAGTTAATAGTTTTATACGTTTTTCGAAATATCTACTCCCATACATATATGATACACTGAAGTCTAAAGAGTCAATTCCAATGCTTCAAACTTCTAAAGTGCGAAATTAAGCGATGACTGCACCTAAATAGATAAATCAGATGTGTGATAATTAATAAGAAATTCTTAGCGACAAAAGCATAACACAGAACTTATGAGAAGTATCTCTGATTTGTTGAAGATTTAGATTGTTTTATAATTTAACAGGGAACGCAGAGATTGATAATTCATTTCTGCTGCTCATTTACCAATCGAAAATTAAATTTTACAGTTATGTAACTTTTGCAGTACCATTCAATTCTCGATCCCAACAGCCAGGAGCAGAAGTAGTTTTTTATGAAAGGAAGTGAAAACTGACTTCTTTCATAACTATTGTATTATACTTACGTTGAATTCAACTACAGTCAATAAGTGAATAAATATAAATTCCGCAGACATCATTTCACTTTATTTTTGATATGTAGAAACGTGAAGCTTCGTATGAGAATAATATTCGAATCTTTCTATTACGGAAGATCACCAAGTATGTTTAATGAAATGTGACTGTTGAAATCATTCAAATGTTACGTGAAGCTGATTAAATCGCTACTTTACTGCGCAGGGTAAATTCACATTGAGTTATTATCTAAAATGCCGACTCTGTTCCATGTATCTATATTGACCAATCTATTAAAATATGTACAGAATACACATATAAAAAGTGCACATTCTGAGTATACTAGACAAGCGTGGGTGACACCAAAGAGTGAATGGTAGCGGTTACTACTCATCTACAGATGTCTGCTTTACTTTCCTCGGCAAAGTAAATTACGCGTATGGAGATGACAAGACGGTACAACTAATTAGATCTGACAAGAGCTGCAGTAGATTGATGAGGAATCCGATGTGCTTGATAAAAAGCAATAATCCCTTTCACACGTTGCAAGGCATGTATAAAAAAAAGCAAACAAATGTCTCAGGACTGGTCTGCTTATATGAAGCCTGGTGGATTAGTGTCGTTGTACATGATTAAACAGATCAGTTTGTCAGTGAAACTAATCTCCTTCAGTGCTTAGTGACTAGAATGAATACAAAGAAGTAAAGAAGCAAAAACGTTTCATTCCTCACATTTTTTCGTCCAAATCACTGACACAAGAGCATGTTCGTTTTCATCGCAGCTCCGCTTTGTCTTCGTCTCAGGTAACATATCGCAAAATATCTTTCACAGTTGTATAATTTATGCAGCTTCCACTTACATCTATGCATGAACAACAGAATCTATCAGCTCCAATCTTTTAACTTTGCCAAGCATTCCCTAATTCAACCATTTTGTTTGAACTCTCACTTCTTTCTGCCTACAAAACACGAAGGGACAATACATTAATGCAAAAGTACGTCTCAAACTGTTTCAAATACTAATAGTGCATTTGCAAGCTGGAACTTATGATAATCTAAGATAATTTGTATTTGTAAAGAACTGACCATACACTTTCGCTTCACACTTCTAATCAGCTCGTATTATGAAAAGTAACATATATTTGAAGTCTCTGCATAAATCTTAGATTCAAATGTTGATTAATTGGTATCACGTACAAGCTTGGTATAAGTTGAATCGCAAACCATTTTGTCAAAGTTGTATATGAATTATGTGCAAACTGTTATGCAACGGATGATTTCGTACACGAAAGACACTGAGTTTTTCGAAAAGTAGCGATATGTGAATACACAATTTCCGAACTAAATGATTCTTTAGACGCGGTGCGATGTTGCGAAGTATGGCAATATAACGTATGAAAGAATTATTGGTACTCAGTTTTATTTCAGGTTTGGAAGTTTTTTTTTTCAGTCATTAAATTGGATTCATGGGTAACTCTGGGAGTAAAATCAACTTTAACAAAGCAGTAATTGAACTTACCACAAAGAAATCAAAAGCAGAAGAAGATGCTTTTTGGAATGAACTATGGTCTGGTAATATCAACAGTGCCGCGGATGTCTTTGCACTAATTCCACCAAATGATGTTTGTTTGGTTTTTACAATAACAATTGGAAAATGAAAACGAAATACGGACTATTATTTTTGTTGTCCTCACAACAGATAGGTTGCTTTCATTTTGATCCTGCTAAAAGAAATTCTAGCTTGTTTTTAGATACGTTCACTGCGTGATGGTTCTCCAAACAATCTAGCTACATTGTGTTACAAAACTGTTTATCGTTTGACATCGGCTTGTAGTTCCCCATCAGCCTTATCGTCCTTCAAAGTACTTCATATTGCCTTTATTTTTCATGCATCGAAATGTGAATCTGTAATAAGTTCAGAAGCTACGCATGATTACTCAGAAGAATCATTTAAAATATTCATTTGTTTGAATTGAAAAGTATTTCATCCAAAGAAGTTCGTTATAACTCAACTAATTTTCGATATTGGATGATTTTTTTCGGAAAATCTACATATTTTAAATGATTCATTCTTACGTGCTACCCAAATATACCACTTATATTAATAAGGTATTGAACTGTGTGCGACTGCTGACAAGACTTTGTCCTTATTTATTCGAAGATTCCGATTGGAGAAGCTTTTTTTGGTCATTACCTCCAGCGGAACAGCAGTTTTCTCATCAACCATTAGCGTGCACGTTGATGACTGCTCTTACAGATCTTTTATTTTGTCCTGACTTTACTGTTTCATCACTCAAAAGTTCAGCGGTAATTTTCACATTTTGTACTCATGATCTGTGTTCTTAAATGCAGAGTTTTCTGAATTTAAAAAAATGTACAGAGTTATATTCACTAATTTTTTAAGATGCTGATTAATCATTATTTATTATGTGTTCATTATCGAGTTATCGTGAAAGAAAATCGCAGCACTCTGCTACTGTCAAGAAAGTTTTTAGTTGTGTAGAAATAAGAAAACTACCATGAGCTTTCAGACAGAATCCGATGATTTAAGCACTGTCGATAGTTGTGAATATATATGGGAAGCTGGTGTTGGCTTTGCTACTAAACCATCGCAAATAGGAGAACACGATCAGCGACGAACTGAAATTCTGAAACTTTTACTTACATGCTTTTCCGAAGTTATTTACACTACAGCCGCTAGTAAGGTTTAAATAAAATATCTAGACTTGATCGAAAATTTAGGGAACGAGGTGCTTTATTTTGTTATATTAAGTAAAGTTATAAACGCTCAAGTTTTTCTGCATTTGTAGTAGATCCTGCTCTTGAAAGTAAAAAAAGAGTTTAAGGTGAAAATCGAATGCGATGGATAGCTAGATTTACATCTGCTGAAAACCGCCATGTTTTACCACTTTTCACTTCATTACTTAACGTCGTTTGCGCATATGATCCTGTTGGCTACGGTGTACCATATAATTATTTGCTTTTTACGGACAGCAGAGAACCACTTGTTGAGACAGCTTTACAAGTACTCATTGTATGCCTAGACAGTGAGACACAATCCTCTGATAAGGTATAAATAAATGTTTCCCTCTCTCCAATTTAAAAATCTCGCTTTCCAGGTTTTTTGAGTAATAAAAGTTTATGTTTCAGAAAAATGAGTATGACGATAATTTTTTTATTAATTATTTGTCAAGGATCCATCGTGAAGAAGACTTTGAATTCATGCTAAAAGGCATGACTCGATTATTGACTAATCCATTGATTGCAACATATCTCCCAAATTCTACCAAAAAAATTGCATTTCATCAGGAGCTTCTTGTTTTACTGTGGAAGTGTTGTGAATATAATCAAGTAATAATTGAAAAGTTTATGTATTTTAAAAAGATCAGACATCGATATTTATTTTATTATTTGATGACCATCCAATTTTGCCTTGATATAAAATTTTATAGTGGTACATTTTAGAAGTTTATGTTTTATTTGTTAAAAACAAGTGATGTTCTCGAAGTTCTTGTTCCAATTTTGTATCACGTGAACGCTTCTCGCAATGATGCAGGTATTGAATTATACTTGGGATTACCTGTCTATTCTCTCTACCTTTTTTGATTAATTGAGACTTTGAACATGCTCTTTATTTTTGTTAAATTTTTATTCGGATCATTTTACAGCTCATGTCGGTCTAATACATATGGGTGTTTTCATTATTCTATTGTTAAGTGGTGAACGAAACTTCGGCGTGCGTTTAAATAAACCTTATAGCCCAAAAGCATCTATCGACGTCCAGTCATTTACTGGGACTCATGCAGATCTGCTCATTCTAGTAGGTCATTTATTGGTGTAGATAGATAATATTACTATGAAAAAACGTATACATTGCTGGTAACATAACCCTTGTCTGAAGACTGCTTTTACATCCTTTAGTTGAAGCAAAAAAACGTATTTTATGCAAACAAAAAGTAAATAAAATGAATCCAAAAATGCAATTTGCAACTTTTCATTGATGTGGCTTTTTTAAGGTTTTCCATAAGTTGATAACCACTGGCAATCATCGATTGCAATCATTATTTGAATGTCTTCTAACAATCATCGTCAATGGTTTGTTCTCGATTTAGTTATGAGGCATCACACGACTTTGTTAGATGAGACAACACAATCAATGCAAGTGATTGTGCAGTCGATAATTATTTATATATGAAGGCTGCATTGGATGAATAGATTTGAGTGTGGACCTTTTTCTATAATTTGGATATAATTACTTTTTTCTGTTCTCTATTAGTGTATTGAAAAACAGAATGTCCTTGTTTACACCTTTACCCAGTTACAAGCTTTTATTAAAGTTTTAGTTGTTTGATTTTTCAGTATCACCATATTTAAAATCAATTTCAATGGTTGCTGCCAATAAACTTATTCATCTTATTGAAGCGTTTTCTACTCCTTGGTTTCTATTTTCATCATCGACGAATTACCATCTTGTTTTTTTCCTCCTAGAAGTTCTCAATAATATTATTCAATATCAGTTTGATGGTATTTATTGATTTTAAAGTCGGTGCTTAACTTTACTTAACGCAAAAAAAAATCATTTAAGACCTTATTGAGTTGTAGCTTGCATTCAACTGTTATCAATTTTGACGAATTAACAATTTTATCATTCACAATTTGTTCAGGTAATTCAAATTTAATATACACCATCATCCGTAAACGCGAAGTTTTTTACCAGCTTGCAAGTCTATCTTCTGATTCGGCATACATTACGAAAATGCTAGAGGGACGCAAGAATCGCAAATGTGATGTTTCAGAACCAAAGGAATCAACTCGCGAAGTGAAACTTGGTGGCTAAATTTCTAGAAAGATATTTTTTCTAATTTTTATTTATCTTGAATAATTTTGCGATTTAGTGAAAAGTTGTCAAATGATCTGAATTAAATTAGCGATTGTAGGTAAGCATCGTTAATAAAATCAGTTCAAGAATACAGAGTGCTGCATCATGAGTAAATAACCACCGATGGATCATCACAACTTGTTCTATATATCTTTTTTATTATCTTTTTTTATTAAAACATATTGTAGATGTCGAGAATCCTGTCAATATAAAAGCTACATTAGCTAAAACGCCTAAATTTTCGAAAATGACTGAAAAAGGGTTAAACGATTTGACGTATGACAATGATAGTAATGTTCAAGAAAGATGGGTACCGACAACACAATGGGTAGAATCTTGGAAAAATAAACTTCCTTTACAAACAGTAATGAGGCTTCTGCAAGTACTTGTGCCTCAAGTTGAGAAAATATGTATCGATAAGTAAGTCATTTATGTATGATTCGCGTTCAGTTCTCTTTTTACATTTGCTTGAAGTGGGAGTTCAGTATTCTCAGTTGAAATCCGTAATTTAGTACTACTTCAGAAGCGTGAAAGAAAAATACAACTGTGCTGGTCATAAGATGCTTACATTTGCAGAGGTTTAACTGATGAAAGTGAAATTCTAAAATTTCTCCAGCATGGGACGCTGGTAGGATTGCTACCTGTTCCACACCCTATACTAATTCGAAAATACCAGGCGAATGCTGGAACGAACCATTGGTTTCGAACATATCTGTGGGGCATCATTTATTTAAGGTATTATTCTACCAAGTACTGTAACTTTTTTTCCGAATTCCAGTTCAAGTATTCATTTTCGGGCATTATGTCAAAACAATCTCACAAAGTATAGAAATATTAGTATTAATCGCAATTCTAGATATAGTTGACCAGTCCATCTTTGATTTCAGAAACATCGATCCACCAATCTGGTATGATACGGATGTTAAGTTATTTGAGATTCAGAGAGCTTGAAGTTGTCAGTTACTCTATGCAGTGTTTAATGTCTGCAACCACTTCAGTGGGACTCATCAGCTAAAGTCTAGTCAATTGTTGTGGTAAAAAACAATAGTGTTTGTATTGATGTAGTCGTTAGGAAATTAGAAATTTTGGCTCCAGCCGTTATGTTGCAAGATCCTGATGTCCTCACAATTACAGTACTAGTACATAAGTTGAAGATCACTAGGTGCGGTATCAAGGTCCTGCGGATCGTCTATCTCATCTGCATTATGGCCCCTGACTCCTTTGATATCCTTGTTCCGAAAATGCTAGATTTAGTCACTCTACACTGTGCATATTGTATTCTCGATTGATACTAATGGTGCTTTTTCTTAAGCTATTTCATACTGTACATAAGAGCAGACTATTTTCTTATAGTACTTTACACATATTATTTACCAGTAACACAGTACACTTGTCAAAATTGAGATTCGGCTCACTGAGTCTTTCCAATTACTTCACACAGTGAAATTCAGTTCAACTAGTTCGATTTATATAAAGTGTTTTGCGTGGTACAAATGTACTTTATGTACCTTCATAATATCAGAACTTTCATCTGCTGGGTCAAACTAAAAAATGTGATAGCAATACACACATGAGTCTTTTAATTATTTTTGTTTAGAACTTGATTACGAACGCAAAGAAAACATGAGCGCGAGATCTGAGTGAATAAAAGTTCTTTGAATTTTCAAAAGAAGTGGGGAGTTTGAACGTCACTTGCTTGCACTTCACAATGATCTTAAAGTAAGGCTAGGGTTAAGGCATAGTAAGCAACGCTCTCATAATTACAATAAACTATGTAAAGCACTACTACCTAGAGGAAGTAAAACTAGTGTAGAACCGAACTTGTCGAAATTAATGTACCCGGATTAAGTGACGTTAAGGTTATTTAGGTCGAAGGAAATAATCGACTTTTATGCAAAAATTAAAAATTACAACCCTGTTGTAGATACAGCGCTTTATGGAGCACAAAAATTCGTGCATGCTTGCTACATAAAGGTTGTACCTACAACCTTAATTAAGATGGAACTAGATGCTTTGTCTTGATTAGAGTGAAGTATGTAAGTAGACAAAACTTTAACTTCTAGCCTACTGGTTACACAACTAGTCTGAGTATCACTTCATAATATGTCTCAGGTCACCACGGCCATGATGGTCCGATCTGATTGTTGGTAATTAAGCCTCCGCTACCACTGTACGGTGGTAAACTCATGGGTCGTTGAGCATCTTGGTTGCCATTCGATGAACCATCAAAAAAGTCGGGATGTATGTTTACACTCTGGGGACTCCGTGGCACTGGTGTCCGCAAAGATTCGATTGGAGAGTCCATAATGGCACCTACACAATATTCTCCGTTATCCTCTAATCAAGAATAAATAATGAAAAGAAAGCAAATGATTATACGGGGGCAAAAAACAATAGAATTACCTATGTGAAAGTTGAGACTCATTGCCGGTGAAACTGACATCGCTGCAGTTGGAGGCATAGTTGCGGACGACGGTCGTCCAATATTTAGAGAATTTGTGGTGTTCAACGAGGAGAAATCTACTAGTGATTGTTGAGATTGTTGAGATGTTTCGGCATGCCCATCTGTTCGTGGTAGACGATGTTCACTCTGAGATTGTGAAATATGGTTGAGAGAAAATTCGGCATTCTGTTGAGGCAACGCGTTACTAGCAACAGATAAACTTAAGTTATCCGATGGCTCAAGTTCTGATGAAGGGATCGGTCGGAACATATTCCCCATATTTGGTTGCGGCCGCTGAATAACCTCCTATAATCTCATCAGATTTAATAAATAGTATGAGTTTCTGCATTGGATGTGACGATTGCTCAGATTTTAAAGAACGTAACAAGTATTTGTTGCAATGGAAAAAAAAAATATCTGAAGCTTAATTCGGAACAGTAGACAGCGTGAACATTTTAAATATAAATTCGTTGAAAAAACGATAAACTTACTGATTTAGATGAAATAGTTTTTTTAAGTAGTGTTAATCACAAATGCATCAACTATTCCTTAGCAATTAAAGTTTTGAGAAAATCAATTAACCTTAGTTTGTGCAGCAAGCTGCGCCAGTTGTTTTGCACGTCGATATCTTCTCCTGTGCTGTTTACCGCCACTGGAATTGCTGTGGTGCTTCTGAATATGCTCTTTCAGTTTATCTCGCCTAGATGACGAATAGTCGCAATTCTCACACCTGATACACGAATTATCAAAAAAAGATACCACATGAAAAGAAATAGATCCCACCAAAAACAGAAATGTTTTTCACTTACTTGAAAGGCTTGTCTTCCAAATGTATTCTCTCATGTCGCACCAAATGAGATTTCTCTATGAAAGAACGACTGCATGTTTTGCAGTGATGCGACCTAACTGCTAAATGTGTTCTGCAATATTGGAAATGCACGTAATTATGCTTCATCAGAAAATATGTGTACATGCTTAAGCTATCTCGTATTTGCCCCCATCAGTAAATTCCGTGGATAGAACCATAATGGATTAATGCCCACAATATCTTTAAATAACGTTTCATAAAATGAGTGACTAACTTGGAAATTTTTAACTCATTTTTTGGCAAATACAGTAAAAGAAGCACCATAAAAAGTCAGAAAAACAAAAACAGAGTAGTGCTGCTATACAGCTATTGTGTATTATTTTTTAAGATAGTCGTTCAATACGCACCAAAAAACAATGATTATGGTTAATTTGACAATTAAAAATTTTAAAGTACCTTAAATGCGCGGCAAGTTGGCTTTTTTTTGGCGACGAATAAGAACATTTGTCATAGTGACAATGGAAAACATCACCAGAGTGTATTCGTCGGTGAGAAATTAGATGACTCTGGTATTTAGTCGAAAAATTACAATGAATACAATGATAAGGCCTACAAAGCAATTAGAAAACTAGTATTAAAAACACAAGATATAAAATCGCAACTAATCAATAAAAATAATAGGTTTTCAGAGAGTTAGCCGTCAAAACATTACCTGTTTTCCGAGTGAGCAGCTACATGCTGATCGAGAGTACTTTTCATAGCAAATGCACGGCCACATTCAGAACAATGAAATGGCTTCTCAACCGTATGATTTCGGACATGATTAATTAAATGATTTCTTGAACGACTTTTAAATTCACATATGGTGCATTTAAAAGGCCGTTCATCAGCTGAAGCATCAAAAACAACTTTAAGCTGGATAAAAAATTACTTAACAAGTCATTCCAAAGCCTTGCAGAAATTTGTCGTCACTTCAACAATAAAGCAAAAAAAATTTACAAATGGCTAGCAAAACAAAAATCATAAAGCACTTACAGTGCGTTAAACGATGCGATAATAAGTTTTGTATACAATTGTTTCCATACTGGCATACATCACACTGGAAGGGTGGACCCTTAAATCAATGTAACTGTATTTTATAATGAACAATTTGTGGTTGACTATAATAAATTATAGAGAATGCACAGAAGACTTACTCAACTTACAAAATTTTCAGACAACAAATATCAGGTTACCAAATGTTTTGGTCAAATTGTTAATTTACAGACCACAAGCTTCCACTACAGAGTATGAGAAATTTACCGCAAAATGCTTCTTCATATGATCATAATAGTCTCGATTCCAAGATGATTCATAATCACATAATGGGCACACATAGGCAATGTTTCGCATATGAGATCGTCCAATATGACGCTTAAGAAGAGTAAGACTAGGACTTTTAAAAATGCAGTAATCACATTTGAAGAATTCCTCAGATGCATTATTGGTCTCGCCATTTATTTCATTATCAGATTCTTCTTGAAGTGAACAAGGATCAATTTCATCTGGTTCTTCGAACAGAACCTGAAAACCAATCAAATTACCGATTTCACTTTTATACATGATAGTTTACTAACAAAATGTAGCACAAATTCGTCTTACTCAAGGCACTACACTCCTCATTCATACATTACATATACTATTTAAAACGCTTTACTTGTTCGCCCGGAGTGTTTCCAGTTTCTGGCAATAATTCTTCTGCTCCTGATTCGTCTAATGCGTTTCTCAGAGATTCATTTCGAGGAAATGTTTTGACTTTCGGTGGCCTACCACGACGTTTTGCTAAAATTTGGTTTGCCGTCGAGATTGATTTTCGATATAATTTATGACGACCAGCAGCTGCTGCAGCAAACAAATAATTAAAATGATTGTAAACAATTTGTTGCCTTACCGCTCTAGAAACAAAACGTGAAGAAATGATCAGCGCCTGAAAATGAATGATTTTTGTTGAGAATATAATACTTATTTCTTAAATAAAACGCAAAAGAATGCACCAATGGAAATATGTCTCGAATGAACAAACCTAGAAGGCGGTGTTTTTTATTCAAGATGTTCATCGAGTTCAAATGAATTTTCAACTTCAAAGCTGGACGAGAATCGCCATTGGACTCTTTGGTGCTTAGCTAAAATATTCTATAGTACTGATGTCACTTGAAATGAATAATGAACAACTCAATAAACAGCGTTCACTGTATCTGCAGCATTTTACTTTCAAAAGTTCGTGGTTCTAAGTTTTTACTAACAATAATAGAATCAACTTGAAACCAACATGAACCAAAAGTCTAGCCATATAGAGACAACTTCACAAATGGAACACAAATTGTGCCAAATTTAGGTTGAAGAACAAGACTGAATAAGAAATCCAATCATCGTTAGAAAAAGTAATTACCACTTCTTGTGTAGTTGAAGCACCAATTACCGGTGGTTGTCCTGTTTCTTCATTATAATTTGAATGAGCCTGAATCCCTAGATGGTCCGTTTTGTGGACTTGATCGCCATTTTTTTCACACTGCTGATTTTCATTTTCTGGATTTACGCTAAAGATGACCCTGACTATAACTGAAGTAGCAATTCGCGAAAAAAAATTAAACTATCAATAAATTCAGGCAGTTTTAATTACGATTATTTCCTTACTAAATGAATCACGTTCAAAAAGATTCATCTAAAAACTTATAATTTAGAAATCCCATGAGATCAGAGCAGAAATTATAAAAAATAATCCTTACCTTGCTAAGAAATCATCTCTTTGTTGTACACATTGCGAATGACCACTTCTAAATGCTCCTGGAGCATCGTTGTAAAAAATCATACTTTCATTGCCAAATTGAGTAGAAAGAGTTCGATACTGCGCGTGATATTTAACCATTGGCATTGAATGGTCACACCTTGAAGAGAAACTGTCAAATATATGAGAGACATACAGGAAAATATTTTTTATACACTGAAACAAGAATGCAGATTCAAGTTTTTGAACGCACGAAATTCACGATACTTCCAAATTTGTGCGCGAAATTCCTTAAAAGCTGCTAGATTACTTCAAAAGAGGTAAGATCTGAAAACTGAAAATGATAAACAAATACATCATTTGCATTAATGTGTATCGAGCTGACTGAGAATTGATAAGGAACGGTGAATAATCCAACAAATATTCCAATGTAGCAGACTGCACTGATTCAAATGAGCATGCAGCTAACATCTCTTTGAAGAAGGAATCGCGTTGCACTGGATTATGTCCAATCCAACGCACTATCAATCTAGGATTGAAGTACAAACAACTCATCATACAAATAGTATGCGAAAAAAATTTGGATAACTGTAAAGATAAAAAGCATTTCAAAAGAACGAGTACAAATCTACAAATGGCATCAAAATTTTCGAGTCATGGGACTTCTTATTTTCTAAATTATTATGCAATACATACAATAAATTGTAAGCAATATGCTGGGTCCGCTTACTTTAAATGAACATCAGGAGAAACTGAATTTGCATATTTTGGTTCTGATAATAATGCATTTAACTGCGGCAATGAAAATTCAACAACATCAGTACTTTCCAGCAAGCATCTGTTAATGTTCATATCGAAAAATTCACATGCACTTTTGAAAAGAGCTGGTAGATTATACTTTAAAGCAAGCTCTTTAACAGATAAACAATTGGCTGAATCCATATAACGATCCAAATATTCTGCACAATAATTTTTTACTCGAGTTATCTAAAAACGAAAAATTGTCAAATTCCACTTTTTGCTTCTTTAATGAGGAACGAAAAATTACTCTTGACGAGCAATAAAAACTGTTATCATGCGTTTAATAAACAACAACTAAACATTATTGGTAAAAATATTTTTGCAACCAACAATGAAATAAACTGACTAAAAAATTGTTGGCAAGTTTTAATAAGTCCATTACGCTACTGCGATCAATAACAACGCTACCACTGTACATATAATTGAGCAGCAGTTCAAAAACTGCGGGATTTTGACAGTTGACAGTCACCTAAATTTGAATTACAATGATAATAGTGATAACGTAATACGAAATAAATCTAGAAATTCCTTTTAATAGCATTATTCGATCATAGTTAGAGCACTAAACTGCACAAGTAAAGCTCAAGAGTGTTACAGTAACAAAGGAAACACACAACTGTAAACAATATATGAAGCATTTATCAAAATTTTTTATAATCTTAAATGAATGCATAACTGCCAGTGGGCATTTTCTTTTTTTTTTTTTAAAAAAAAGTCGTACCCAATTTGAAAATACAACAGCTTACTTTTCAGTCTTCCTCACTTGAATTAATAAGCAGAACACTACCACAAAACTATTTTAAATTCCATAAACAAGGTAAGAACCTTCATACAAAAAACGCACTTGTTCTTTGACAACTTTTGAATTTCTCAAGATCGAATCGAAATATGGACTGCACGAAGCAAGGATGTTTCTATGTGCACAAAAGTGACGATCCTTTACGATAATATAAACATCACAAAAGCGACCAGTATCACGCTGGTAACGTAAACGTTCTAGTAAGACATTTCCATGTTGATCTGTGAATGACATGGGATTTAAACTGCCATTACCATCAGAAGCACAAGTAGATAATGTTGTCATTTGTCTGAAAAACATTTATGATTTCAAGCCTAATCAAAATCGTTCTGTAAACGAGCTCTTAGCTAACTTACAAGTTTCATAACCTTAATAAGAAAGCAAACGTAAGATCCTATTTATAGGAATAAATTAAATTTAGAAAACAGATGAGAGATAAAAGTTAAGATAAGAGAAGATAAAAGTAAGGTTTCATGAACATAACGAAAAGATGTATATGAACGAGCAAATAGTTTTCTGAAGCGAATAATGAGACAACAAATTACAGATCATTGCACATCAATGCTACTTATGGACCTCAGCTGCTCATTGCTTGAGAGTAAAATATTAGCTAGCATAAAAGATATCTAGAACTTGAATGATTTTCATATAAATGTTATAGCTCATATCCAACTATACAACCGTACAACTACATTAAGTTAAAACGATTAATGATTTCATCATTCTTTTTCGTTTTTATTATCAGAGCACTAATTTGTGGCATAAAAACGTATGCAACAATTATTGAAATGAGATAGGAGTTGTACTGATCTATTGGTTGTGTAACTCGTCGCTTACTCAGATTAATTAACAAAAACGAGGAATGGTCACTGTAATTTAAAGCGATTATAATATTGGTAAAGCGTGCAGTAATTATTTCGATAATATTGAAATGAAGGTATGCATCTTAATTATTTTAATTCCAATGAATCTTCGCTACTTGCCATGGCATGCTGTCACAAATTTTTACTGGAATATAGCTCTGCTCTCATCATTACTGCATTCACTCTACACATAAGCTCTGTACAGTAATCTCCTTTCCATGGCTTAATTTAGTTATCTTTAAACCAAAGATGGTTGCATTGCTAGTCTTTATTGAATATTATTGCTCTTGATTTGCACCCAAAATCTGTTGTTCGTTTAAGAAATCATGATGAGATAGTTTTGTAAGTGCATAGACTTTAATAATTATGGAGTTTAGTAAAAATTTTCTCTTATGTGTGGAAGTCATTATTCTTTTTGCAGCAAGTTTCTTATCAAAAAAAAGATAATTATTTAGGACCAAATGAAAGAAACACTTCATATTAAAAAATTTATTTTTTGAACTAAAATCAAATACTGGCCAATTTTATAGAACGCGGTGGCGTTGGTAACCGGTGGGGCCTCGGGTTTAGGTAAATTTACAGTCCAGCATTTGCTTAAACATGGCTTTAAAGTTGCCCTACTGGATCTTCCTTCATCAAATGGTGCTTTTTTGTCTCGGCTGCTGAATCAGAATTGTGCATATATTCAGGCTGATGTTAGTCTTATTTCTATAAAAATTTGTTGAATCAAAGAATGATCGTAATTGTAACTCATTTAACTTGTGTTGGCTATATCTTAAATTGAGAGACTAACTAGATAAAAAGTGCAGACTATCTATAACTGGTTTGCAATTTATGAAACAAATTCAGATTGCAAATGATGAGGAAGTTAAAAATGGCTTATCGAAAGTGAAGGATAAATTTGGACATCTGGATATTGTTGTCAACTGCGCAGGCATTTCTTTCAATCGTAAGGCATTCAGCTTTATCACCCCAAATAGCGATCAAAAAGCTACAGTCATGTCGGATTTGGGAAAAATGCTCTCAGTGAGGTTCCTGTATTTGTGTTGTAAATGTTTGCTTTCTTTCCAGGCTCATATGTTAACTATCTTCTGTTGTCTGCATAATTGATTAAGGAGGTCTGAGTGGTGGAGGCATGCTGTAAAGCATCAGAAACGCTTCATTTATTACTTTGAATTCAGGTGAATGTTGGGGGGACATTCAACGTTATTCGACATGCGCTTCATTTACTCACTGAAAATGATAAGGATGAAATGGGCTGTCGAGGTATTGTCATTAACACTTCATCATTTTCATCTTTCGAACCGCAGTTAGGACAAGTAATTTTCCTTTTCTATTTGTTCATTATTAATTATCGATTATGAATCAAGTTTTCTTTTACACCATTCAGTTCATAAAAATTTGTTTCTGTTTTTTGTTTCCATTGTTGTTGCTTCATTTGATGATTTCGCAGATTTTCATTTTTTTGTCTTCGTGTTACTGCAAAGGAAGATTGTAATGAACTGTAGGTATTTGATTCATTATGTTCTGGAGCGTTGAACAGTGCAACATTATCATTGTCCAAAGACTATGCTTCCGTTGGTGTTCGATTTGTAACGATTGCTCCTGGTATTTTTCGAACGCCGTTGGTAATTTCTCATATGAATGAAATGGTAAATCAGATTTTTTACATGCTTCATCAGTAGTGTGATACATATTTTAGTTAATTTGACACTATTAATCCTATCTTATCTAAAATTACATTTGCAGAACTTGGAGGATTATGAACGAATGGTACAACTTCCTTCACGACTGGGCTTACCGGAAGAATTTGCTGCACTTGTATTGCATATAATACAAAATAGATATTTAAATGGTGAAGTTATTCGTTTAGATGGTTCTCTCAGAATGCCTTTGTGATCTTTATCTCTACAATAATACTCTTAGTGTTGTGTTTACCTTATATTGGTAGTATGTTCCAAGTATCTGTGTAGTGAGTCATTGTTGATATATTGTTCACCAATAAAGTTTTCTGATTTAATGTTATGGAAGTTTAAATTATGATGTTTTTTTACTGGTTACCGTTAACTGCTTGCATTGCCGGAGCTAATTTCTGTGGTAAACATTAGAAACTCGTAAAATACTGCAGAAGCAATCTACTGTAGTAATTCACTATAGCGCAACAAGATTTTAATTCGGGCTGGAATGATGTACTATGTCAAGGAGACAGTAATTCCCAAGTTTCAATTTTTTGACCAGATGTAACTGTTCGGTGAGGAATATGGGTATTGGGATGTATGTGGGCCGCATATGCATTGTAGAATTATGTCGTGCCGTGTGCAACCAATCTCTGTATGTAGTCCTTCAGAAGTGTGATTCTGCGTATCAGCCATCTTTCGAGATTTAATGTGGGAATAAAAATTTCACTTATTCTAAATTTGCGGGTTGCATATTTGATACTTCTGCTGGTTCTGTCTTGAATTTTTTGGGAAAAACTCTGAGCAGTTGCAAGCTCAAATTCTTATACATGGATTCATTTCTCTAGTATAGAAATTTACTCTGGTTTCATTCATGTCTTTCTCTTAACTCTTGGAAATTTGTGTAAGTACTGCTTGTTTGGAACTGATTGGCGTGGTCTACATTCTGGTTTTCCTATTATTTCTTTCAAACCACATAAATATCACTTTGACTTTTAGTGATTTGGTTATTGATGTAATTCATAAAATAGGATTTTATTATAGGTTTTGCTCATTGGATGGCTACTTGCTTGGCATCTGTAAAGGTATTACTTACCATTAAATTGCATGCTAATTATATATATAT